TAAAGCAACTATACCCAAATAAAAATTAATCAAAAAAATAAAAGTGTAAAAAAAAAAGAAAAATCATTGCCTATCAGTGATTAACTCAAACTTCAGCCTCTCCTTCCCCTACCCACCAGAGATCTGGATGGGATGTAAAGTTCCAACCCTCTAATCCCAGGTTGCTTGCTGTGTCCTAGGCGACCCAGGGGCCCCGGCCACCAGCTACCTCATTAGCATTAAAAAAAGACTATCACTCTGGAGATTCCGAGGGTTTAGGGAGCTGTGTGCCAGGAAGAAGAAAAGAGCAAGAGTGGGCAGAGACCAGATATATATTTCTTATTATGGCACAACATGGCCGTGTTCCAGTGAAGCTGTATTTATGGACATGGAAATTTGAATATCATGTTGTGCTCATTTATCGTGAAATATTCTTTTGGTTTTCCTTCACTTCATCATACGAAGACCATTCTTAGCACAAGGGCTGGACAAAAACAGGCAGCAGGCTGGATTTGACCCACAGGCCATGGTCTGCCAGCCCCCTGAGTTTGCGGGTCTTCCTCGGGGCTGGTTTACTTTCCTCCGGCCCTCCCACTGTTCCAGGACCAGCATCTCCTCCACCACCCACGCCTCCATCACGATGCATTTCTTCCTGGTCTCCTTGTTTTGCTCTTTGTTGGTTTCCATGTGGCCAGGCCTATATGTCTTGATTAATTTGTTCTTGGTTAGGCTGGAGAAGGTTCTGTCTCCAGCAGAGCTTACAAATCTTAGGTATTTATGACTCTGTTAGTTTGTGGTCCTTTTTTTCAAGGATCTTGGTAAAAGTTCCAAGGGCTTTACTAGAAGAATCAAGACTCACTATTGTGTCTTCTTCCAGAATCTTTCTTCCAAATGTGATAGGTTAGAGCTCAGATAATTTGACTTTCTTCCACTATAGAGTGAATCCATGCTCATGAGGTCACCCTTCTTTCCCATCAAGGAGAAGTCACTTGGAGGCCTCTTCATTGTTCAAAATATTAAATCAAATGCTCCACAGATGTGACAGTCAATACCAGAATTGACTTTACTCTTGTCACAAACCTATTTTAGTCAGATGTTGGGTGGCTTATCTTGATTTCACAAGTATCTTAAACATTTTCCTAAGTGTCTCACCTCTCCTTCCTCATCACCTAAACCTTTCTACAAAATAAACCAACTTTGAGAGGTAAATAGATAAAAGAGTTACCATTGAATCAATTTTGAGAAGAATAGGTAACTTATAAAAGCAAAAGTTGGAGATAGGATTCTTTGTATAATAAATACTAACCACTTGTCAATCTAGCATTCTAGGAAAAGAAAATTAGATACCATGGGATTCCTGTTTTAGCTTGGTTTTAATTTTAAAATGTTCCACATTGGAAATAATTTGGATTTATTGAAAATAGTATGCACTGTAATGATATAATATTTGCTTGATTGATATAACAAGTTTGGTTTAATGAGTGGAAAAAGAGATTTAAAATCTAGCATAGTTCTTCAATGTTTATTCTAATATTTTATTAAAGAAATTTGGCATGCAACTTATTAGTTAATAGAATTACATAAGATGAAACCAAAATAGAATATTAGTGCTCTGGGTTATGCTGCATACTCCATTATTTTGTAATTCAATAAACGGAACCTAACTATTGACATAGATATGACTTTCTTGGTATACTGTAATGTTCTTCAATTGGAGAATGTTTTCTGTATTTGTGGTACACTAAGGCTGGCGTGCTTAGCATGGGGTTGCAAAGAGTCGGACACGACTGAGCGACTGAACTGAACTGAACTGAAGCACCTGCTTCAGTTTACTTGCCTTTGAAAAGTGATGATTAAAAGTGTCATAGGTTTAACATATTGCCTGTCTTTCTGAGAAGATAGAATACATTTGTCAATCATTTATTTCGTTGCTTCTGTGAGCCTGATTGTTCTGTGGAATGCTTTTGCATAACTTTTCCCTAATCATTCGTATACCCCTGCTTCCTCATCATTTTATGGGCAAGGTAACAGAAGCTCAGTGAAGTTAAGAAAATGATTCAATATCACTCTATTCCTGAGAAATAATTGGGATGGTTGACTTCACAGCACACGTAGGAAATAGTTCTTATTAGGATACCTATTTCCGTATGGAGAGAGTTGGGGTGAATTAGCTTAGGAATTTTACTAAAATCACAGAGTTGATAAAGGGTAGAGTCAAGAGGTAAACACACAGCCTTTGGTGCCAGAATCTAACTCAGCCTTTGGTTCTGGAACCTGACTTGGGTCCTCACACCTGATCTGTTTTGAAAGTTTCATCAGAGTTTACTACCTAAGTAGTAATGAAATCCATAGTCTTAGAGAATGTGACTTTATTGTTTTTTTCTCTAAGTAATTAAGTAGGATTTCACCTTACTTGTAAATTTCAATCAAACACTGTTGAAATACAGGCATTTCTCATACAACATGATACAAGTGTTCCTAAAAATCTCTGTGTGCTGCAAAATTATGCACTAAAAATAAATGGGCTTATGGGAAGAAAATGTGTTGAAGTGAAACCAATCAACACTCAGCAGCACTAGCTAAAGCTATAACGGTCCTAACAAACATACAAGCTTAGTTAAAAAGACAAGCTGAATTCTGATGAATACCGCACTACAGTAATTACAGGACTGGTTTAAGGGGAAGAGGTAGCTTGATGGGAAGGGACTGTAGGAAAGTGAAGAGCCTGATGAGTTATTGAGAAAGGGAACTAAAAACGGAAACTGTAACAAGACAGGGTGTGTATTCAAGCTGAGCTGAGGGGACTTGCAGGGGCGAATGGGGGTCTAGATGACCCCTATTTTATACTGACATTATCCCCCATTAGTGGGTATGAGCCAAACCACATCACAGAAATACACAGTATTTATCTGCAAATAGTTGAAAACAAAATGGCTTTTTATAGGGTAAAAAGGAATCACTTGTCTCTTGTAACTCTGCATAAGAATCACATTTTCCGTAAATATATTCATAAAAAGATGAAGTCATTGTAAGGAACTATTTGAGCAGTATAAGTATGATGTGGATTCTAGGAAGAGCTGGAAAGTATTCCACATATTTCTGGAACAAAATATTGAAACATTTATCTGATTTCCTTGTGACCTGCCATTAAGAGGGAATGATATTTAATTTGAAGAGCTACTAACTGTATGCCCTCAGATTTCAGTGATAATCCTGGTAGAGAGGTTTAAAAGCACAGGTATTTAGAATTTATAGTCCCCAAAGTTTTACTCTTTAATTAGTCATAAAGCATCCTGTAACAGTTTGCTCTAAAAATTGAGAATCAAAAAGTGATAATTCTTAGAGTTAAAATCTCTCAGCTCTAGAGTATCAACGTTGCTCTTATTTCAAAGTTGTCACTGAATTGCCTGCTGAATCTAAGAAAGGTATGGATTATGCCCACCTTATTTTTAAGAAAGAATTAATGTAGTGTGTTAAGCATTTGTGTCCGGTGCTATAGCTTTAGCAAGGCAGTTATTTTCAGGAAAAGGAGAGTTCCTTGTGTTTTGGGTCCCCAGGGCTGAGGTTGCCATGAACTTTAGAGGTAACTTCCTTGTTCTGGGAGGGTGACCAGCATGGGCTCTTAGTAACAAAAATTTAAACTAAGCATCTTCCGCTTGTGCAGAGAGCTGGAACTGCCTTGCACTGTGGAGGTCAGTAGCTGGCCTGGAATCTGAACTGCTGTCAGCTTGCCCACGTCTGGGCTTTGGAATAAGGAGGAGCTGCTTCCCTAAAGAAGGCTTCAGAGGGGAATTGGAGCAGCCCCGTCCCCATGAATGGTCATGTAATATTGCAAACCCCACATCTGGACTTGGTTATGACTGAATAACCTGGTTGTGGGAAATGAGCTGTGGACAACTTTAAAGGGTACTTTTATGGATCCTGGTCTCCCCTGGGCTATGGTTTATTGATAAGGTGAGTCGGGAGCCTGCGGGCTCCCTTGCCTTCAGCCCCGCGTCCCACCAGGAGACGAAGCCTGTGGGTTCTGTCTCGGAGATGCTTCGAAATTGATCTGCTTTTTATCCACAGGGCCACTCTCTGATCCAGCCCAGATCAGCCACCTGTCCAACTCTGACCTGTCCCTCATGCCCTCATCCTGCATTTCAGATAATCTCTTGAAAATACAATGGCATTCTCACTTCTTAGTCCCCCAGCCCTTAGAAGAGAGTGGTGGCTTAGGTGGCATTGTTCACACGCCCCCCAGCTATACGTCCTGACCTCTGCTATCTCATCTGCATCACCCTCCCCAGGTTTTCTTTGGCTGCACGCTCCGGCCGGGCTGGACCTGTTCATTTCCTGGGACGTGCCTGGTCTGTCCTGTCCTCCAAGCATGCTGTTTTCTCTGGGGCTCTCTTGGCTCACAGTCACCATTCAGCTTGGGTATCTCTTCCTCCCGGTACTGGATTGGGATCCTTGGTGTCACTCCTGGAGTCGGGGGTGTGCCCCCTTTGATAGCACATGTCATACTTGGAGCTGCGTGTCAGAAGTAGTTTTCCTAAAGGAATCCTCTTACGCCACTGCTGGGAATTTCAACTGGTACAGCCACTGTGGATAGCCACTATGAACAGTGTAGAGATGTTTCCTTTAAAAACTAAAAATAGAAGTACCATGTGATCTAGCAACCCCACTTCTGGGCATATATCTGGGGAAAACCATAATTCAAAAAGAGCAGACACCCCAGTGTTCGCAGCAGCACTGTTTACAAAGCCAGGACATGGAAACTACCGAAATGTCCATCAACCAAAGAATGGATAAAGGAAATATGGTGTTTTTATGCAATGACATATTACTCGGCCATAAAAAGGAATGAGATCATTTTATTTGCAGCAACATGGATGGACCTAGATATTATGATACTAAGTGAAGTAAGTCAGAGAAAGACAAATACCGTATGATATTGCTTATGTGTGGAACCTAAAATATGACACAAATGAACTTATTTGCAAAGCAGAAACAGACTCACAGACATAGAGAACAGACTTATTGCTGCCAAAGGGGAAAAAAGATGAGGAGGGGCTAAATTAGGAGTAAAAAATTAAAAATAGTCTAGTCTTCCTGCTAGATTGTAAGCTCCGCCTGACTATAATGACTTTCGCCCATGGCTCTGCCCTTGCACCTGGAAAAATGTCCCACATATAGTAGGACATAAATGCTTGTTGAGTAGACTGGAACGTGAACAAATGAAGGGATAAAGCAGGAAGCAGGACGCAAGCTAATGCATCAGAGAATCTGTGGGAATGGAGCTTACGAAAAGCGAAATGCCAGGGGTAGGTCAGGTGTGTTTGGAACTTTAACTTTCAGGAGCTCATGGCTGAATTTAGCAAGGAGGTTTGGGTGACACAGTGAAAGCAAAGCCAGAGCCTGGTTGGTAGGTGGAAGAATAAATCTTGTGTAAACGGGGTGAGTGCTGCATGGGGCTGTGACTGGAAGAAAAAGCAGAGCTGGCATTGGAGCTGGGAGCAGGGGCATCATGAAGGAACCTGGCTCTCCCTTGCCCTTTCCCTCCACTCAGGGAGGCACAGTTTTTTTACTACTTTGTCCAGCTTCCCTGGTCTGTCACAGGGGACTGTTCTGTAAATATTGCTTCCTGCCAAGTGAAAAGAAACACATTTTGAAGTCCTGATTTTTGAAATTTTATTGAACAATTTTTCAGCTTTAGAGGAATGAAAACATTCAATGTTCTGAATATTAAGCTGCCTTCTTGACATTTGTTTATGAAGATGGTTGCTACAATTTGGGTGGGGCATGCACACTTTACCCTTACCGAGGGAGTTTGTTTTGAAGTTCTCTCTTCTTTCAGCTACTCTTCTAAATCTGGACTTTGGAATTTAATCTTAAAACACATATTTCTTGAATCACAGATTTCGGTGTGGCTGGGTGCTAAGCCTGGCATGTGACCTGCTATTGTAAAACAGGTTTTCTGTGTGAGAGAGTACACATGGGGTGCTTCCCCCCACCCCCGGGTTTTTCACATGTGAAAATAAGGGTTTGTGCTTAATTCTTTCCTTAGAGATTAATGATGGAGTATCTCATTACCTACACAGCAATGCATCCTGGTTATTTTAAAAAAATTTTATATTGGAGTATAGTTGATTTATAGTGCTGTGTATACTCATACATATATATACTGTTTTTGCATCCTGGTTATTGATATGAGGTCAATAGACGGGTCTTTATTGTCACTCTAGAGGAATTAATCACTTACCGGTAAAAGGAGAAAGCGTTCAGTCAATTTGGAGGCTGTTTAATCATCAGCCTGGGGGTTGGCAAATACCTCTTTGAATTTCTGAGAATATCTCTTCCACTGCCTGCCAAGGCCTTGTCACCAAATTTATCACTTCAGTTCACTTGTTTTTTTCCCTCCCATGTCACTACCACATCTACACCCAGCTCTGTACTGCATTCAGGAACTGACCCAACCATTTCTGAAGTTGCTGCTAATGTTATACGAAAAGAATCGTCACTGGTTCCCTTGAAGAGCATAGTCTATCTTCCTGGCAACCTGGCGAATGACTGACAAACACGACTTTCCAAGGTATTGGCATTGGCTGCGTCTGTTCTAGTGTAATTTCATCAGCTGCAGAGACGAGGGACGCTAATTAGTTTGTTGATACATATGTGATTTAATGAGACTAAACACTTAACTGATCTTGAAGTAAGCACAGTTTGTTTCCTGTTGCTGTTTTTACTTTAATTAAAAAAAAAAAACATGTTAGGCACACTGGCTGGAAATCAGAGCACTGTGTCATCTTGGAGAAAAAAGAATTTCCAGGAAGTCTGACTGGTCAGTTGTGTCCTGCTCTAATGAGATTGAAGAGAAAAGGATAAAATATTGGGTTTGAGAACAAGGGTTGAAATCCAATTTAAATAGAAGATTAAGCATAATGGAAGAATTTTCATAAACTACATTATGTCGGAATCCTCAGTGCAATACTAAAGTTATAATATGTACCAGAATAACTGATTTTAGGAAGAAATTCCAGACCCGCATCAGCTCCAACATATAATCTTCTATTTTTATGGCCTTTTTTGAAGTGCCCTCTTTTCTAGTTATTATATTATATTTTTATGTAACTGAAACTATGACATTCAATTAATACAATTTTTCTTCCTAAAAATTCACATAAAATAATGGTATTTTGATTTTTAATAATAAATATTTATTAAGAATTATCTACTAGACTCTTAATTACTTTCAAGTTGTGCAAAACCGAATCCAGAGAGGTTCTCTATTTTGGGAGTGGGAAGAGGTGATGAGGAAGTAACTCTAACCCCATGGTTAAAATTACATTTGTATTAAAACGCTTCATCTAATTTGCTTAGCTTTTTGCAAACATGAGTCAGTGCTATGACCTGTGCAGCCCGTTTTCATGGGACCATGTCCATGCTCTCTCCTCTGTGTATCTGCTGCAGTGGCAGAGTTGAGGTGTTGACCACAAGCTGAAGTGACCCACTCTGCCTTTATGGGGAGGTTGGACCCCTGATCTACACCATGCCAGAGGACAGGAGTTAATAAATAGTAATAGGTGGCACTCCTACCAATGCAGGAGACAAATGAGACATGGGTTTGATCCCTGGGTGGGCAGATCCCCTCAAGTAGGAAATGGCAATCCACTCCAGTATTCTTTACTGGAGAATCCCAAAGACAAAGAAGCCTGGCGGTCTACAGTCCATAGGGTCACAAAGACTCGGATAGGACTGAAGTGACTTAGCATGCATGCTTAATAGTGTTGTTGAGAAACGTTAAAGACTGAGAAACAGCTACTTGTAGAACTGAATCTTAAACAGATCTTGGTGGAGAGCTGTAGATCTGCAGGTCTTTCAGAATCCAGTAACTGGTCCTCCATCACCAGATCACCTCTGGGCACCCAGCAGCCTCTGAGACAGACCATGCCCTCTTCTCTGCTGGCAGAATATGGTTTCTGCTCCTTAATGCTGAAAGCATCTCCCTTTATACCTTCCTGAAGATTCATAAATCATGTAGGAACAAGGATTTGGGGTTTGACTTTAAGAAGCAGAGTCAGGTAGGTGAAATCTTTGAACATGACACAAATGAACTTCTTTACAAAACAGAAACAGACACACAGACCTAGAAAACAAACTTATGGTTACCAAATGGTTAAAGGGGGAGGGATAAATTAGAAGTTTGGATTAAATGTATACCTCTAGCTGATTCATGTTGAGATTTGACAAAAAACAACAAAATTCTGTAAAGCATCTATGCTTCAATTAAAAAAATAAATACTAAGGGAAAAGAATCTGAAAGAATAGATACATATGTATGTAAAACTGAACTATTTTGTTGTAGCCTGAAACTAACACAACATTGTATACTGTTGTACACAATGTATACAATGTATAGTTGTATATAATCAACTATATTCTAATATAAAATAAAAATTAAAAAAGAAAAAGAAGCAGAGAGTTGCAACAGTTTCTTCTGGACTGTCAGCATCCATCATCTTCCCCAAACCTGATAACCCAGCAATGCCCCAGGGGCTGTCAGATGTGAATTCAGCTTCATTATTTGTCCCAGTTTGGAAAATGAATTGTCCATTGCTCTAAGCCTATCAGTAATTTATCTGTGAAAAATTATAAGCTGATGTTATATACATTAGGAACATACTGAGAGCGCTGAGGTGCACAGAAAAGACACAAAGTGACTGAACTCCAGTTCCAAAGACTGAAGTATAATCCTTTATGCTGGATGATTCAAGTACCACCAGCCAGCGAGCAGAATAATTACGTTCTTGTTTGCTTTCTAATGTAAACTTATAAACCATATCTTCAAGATAAATTAATTCTAGTGTATAAACTAAGCCTGATTGTTTAGAAAAAGTGTAACTTGATAATATATGAGTTTGAGTTAATTGACACCCATTTGCTGTGGAATCGATGGACCTATGTTTGAACCATAGCTCTTGCACTTTCTAGCATTTCAAATCAAAGATGACACAAACGTTGAGCCTCTGACCCACTGGTGATAAGAATACCTATTTCAAGTGGTTGCTGTGAAGCTTAAATGTAAATACAGGTTTCTTAGCACTGTACCAGACCATGTGTTCTTTTTCCCTCTTTTTTGAGTTTTTTGATTTTCCAAGTATGGAAGTAGTCGGCGGACCCAGTTAATCAACATCATTGTATTGTTGACAAGCTGAATTTACAACCAGATGGTTCCACTGAAAAGTTAACTAATGAGACATGGGTTGTGAATTATGGAGACTTCATTACAACATCAACAAAAGCAAATGTACAGGGGGAAATCAGTGAGAAGGGTCATGCTCCTGACTTTGGGGACTCCTAGGAAGAGAAGCCTTCTTGGATTACTCCAGCGTCATCTGGATTTGGATTCAAAGTCTCCTGTAAATCCAGTGGCCTATTCTTAAGAATCAGGAGTCTTTCGAAAAAATATTATTTGTTTTTCATTTTGGTGATATTTTAAACATATTTTACTATTTGTAGAGATAAGTGTCTTTGGCAGTAATCATTTCAATTAATTTTTTTTCATGTAAAAGACAATGTTTCAGATCTAACAACATATACTTGGGCATCATTATATACATTTTTTCTTTAGCTATGTTTAGGAGACATTATGTATGCTATTCTGATTTTTTAGAAAATACAGACTAATGAGAATTTAGTAGTATCAGCAGTGATATGACATAGTTTGAGACCCAGCTTCTGTCATAAAACCACAATATTTCACCCTTGTGGAATCAAATGAGACCAAATGGGCTATAAAAATGGGAATCAGTAGTTTGTGTCAAAGACATTTTGGAGAAAATTGTATTCCATTTGAAAAATATTAAACTATGAAAAGCAAGTATTTTTCTAGTATACTAGAATGCACACAGGAAAAGGAAATGGCAACCCACTCCAGTATTCTTGACTGGAGAATCCCAGGGACGGAGGAGCCTGGTGGGCTGCCGTCTATGTTGTCGCACAGAATTGGACATGACTGAAGTGACTGAGCAGCAGAATGCACACGTAGGAAATAAGATCTTTACCAAATGTTCCATCCATTCATAATGGACATTTGCACCAGAATTTTTTTTTTTAACTTGAAAATGACATAGGACTGTATGGTCTTCACTTTTTCATACCTGTATTTTTCTCTTTCCATAGGAATACAGAGTCACTCCTCTTTCTCCTCTGACCTTCTGCAGCCCCTGGACTCCCTGGTCACCAACATCTCTGGTCCACTAGTGGCTTCTGTGTGTCCATCCTGGTAAAAAGAACCAAGCCCAGGAGCAGTCACCATGTTCTGCGCGAAGCTGAAGGATCTGCAGATCACAGGGGACTGCCCCTTCTCCCTGCTGGCCCCGGGGCAGGTCCCCAGAGAGCCCTTGGGGGAAGCCACAGGGAGTGGGCCAGCAGCTACCCCAGGGCAGCCAGGCATCTGTCCAGGTGTCCCTGACAAGAACCCGCCCGGAAGGCTTCCCCGGAGGAAGACCAGCCGCAGCCGGGTCTATCTTCACACTTTGGCAGAGAGTATTTGCAAACTGATTTTCCCAGAGGTGAGTGCCTGCCCTTTCAAGATCTTACTGACATTTTGAAAATGGTAATAGGGTGTTTTTCTAAGGAAAATGTGAGCACTCGCTTTCTCACTTTCAAGGCTACAGTAGATGTAGACAATTTGACAATTTTCTGAAAACATTTAAAAACATTTTTAAAAAGCAATCATTTTCTTAAATTGTGTTTAATGTTAAAATGTTTACAGTCTTGCATTCTTTTCCAAAGCATCCTGCACTCTGACAAGTTTTATGACTTTGAGCAGCTGTTTCATCCTCTTGGCCTCAGCATTCTTATCTGAAAATAGACATGCTGACAGTCCCAGGTCCCTACAGTTTGCACAAGCATTAGGTGAAATAATCCACAGCTCTCACCACCCACCAAGACCCATTAGTTACTTATGGATGGCAAGCTATTTTTTTTTTTTTTTATAGATTCATTAGCTATTTTTTTTAGAGCTAAATTCCTTGGAGAATAACTTATTCTCTGCTGGGTTTCCCTCATCTAATTCCTAAGAGCATCATCTGTTCCCGCCAACTTGCTGAAGTGGGGAGAACCCCCCACCACCTTGTCCTGCTGGGTTGGTCAGGGTCACAGGCCTGTTTAAGACACCCCTGTCACCAGTTTGGACATGTCTTGGTGTTGGTCTGTGGGCTGCACAGCCTAATGCTGTTTTGAGATCTGGAGCCCCACCCTTAAAGGGATTCAGGAAAGATAAACACTGTATGGTCTCATATGTGGAATCTTAAAAAACAACAACTCATAGAAAAAGAGATCATACATGTGGTCCCAAGAGGCAGAAGGTGGGAAAGGGGCTTAGAGGAAGGTGGTCCAGAGATGTTGGAAGATAACATAAATGAGTACCATGGGAGTAACTCATGGTGACCCTGCCATCTTGTGTGGTGTGTAGGAAGGTTATCAGGTACATCCTCTGAGTTCTCATCACAAAGACAAAGTTTTTTGTTTTCCTTTCTTTTCTTTGTGCTGCATCTATATGAGAAGATGGATGTTAGCTGAGCCTTACTGGGTCATCATTTCACACTATATGTAAATCAAGGTGTCATGCTGTATGTGTAAACTTAAACAGTAATGTATGTCAATTATTTCTCAATAAAACTGGGGGGAAAAGAGAAAACAGGAAATACTGGGGACAGGCCATAGACCTAATTAGGTAAAATATGTTTGGAATAGACAGGGCTTGTGGAGAGCTCCTCACCCCATGGGGCTAAAGAGAAGAGCCACTGAAAGTCTTCATGGTGTGTGTTCCTCCCTCTGACAGTGTTCACAGCTTTATGCAAATTCACTTAGCCTAGAAGGTTGGGCATTGAAATAATCAGATTCTGGCGCTCATAATTTATTGATGATTTTTAATTGACTCCACACCAACCCTTTGCCTTGTGAGAAACACTGGAGGACCACAGGCTGCTGACTTTTAGGACTGGAAGGACCTTAGAGGTAACCTTGTTTCATTCCCAAGAAGGACCCGAGAGGCTGAGTGACCTGACCAAAGTCACACAGCTTTTGAAGGATGCAGCAGTTACTGCTGTCAGCTATATGGGTTCAACTGGCAAAGAAGAGACTTGAAGCTTGAAGAGTGGATAAATTAGAATTGGCAGGAAGTTGAGGGAACTTATTTCAAATGTAAGATAAGCACAGTAGTAGACTGGCTAGTGGCTTTTGAGATGGAAATATTTAATTACTGTCTCCCCGCTTCAGTCACCAGCAGCCAGCGTTGGCTGGGATGAGGGATGCAGCTCTTCCCGGGCAGCTGCTTGGTGTCAGTCTGGGAAGCGGTTGGCACCCTCATTTCCAAGGGCAGAGCGTGGGGATGAGCAGATGGTGAGGTTGGGGAGCTGGAGAGCGGTCATGCTTTCCCCAGGTCCTGTCATTACCCCGTTGGCTTCATTATTTTGTTTGATAAATTCTGAATTCCTACCATGGAAGTCATGCACGTATTGGAATCTCTTTTAAAAACATTCAGAATATCCAATATATGCGTTCTTATTTTCCTTTATTTAGGATAATCTGTGTCATTTGTTTGCGGGCTCACGGGAGCTTTGAGTGTGCTGTCGTGTGGCAGGGAAAAGCCAGGCTGAGGACTTCAGGAGGCGAGAGGGCTGCCCTTGACCTGAAGAATCAGGGCTCTTTCCCACACCTGAGGCCGTTTTCATTCACGTTTCAGCAAACATCCCAGGGCCGGATGCATTCATGCCGAATAGCAACCAAACTAGATTACTTCATCAGCTATTCAGACACCTAGGTGTCTTTGATTAAACAGGGCTTTTGTAAAAACTGATCTTTTTTAAGTGGACAGATTTAATACTTAGCCTACTGTTCAATTTCAGTCCCATCAGTAGCCCAAAAGAAGAGACTCCAGAGAGCATTTGATGGCATCCTCGTTCTTGGTTTTGATGATTAGATGTAAACTATGTTATGTTTTATGGGGGACAAGTATTATAGTTCGTTATCCTTAGCAGATTTAGAGTGGGAGATGGTATTCCAGAGTCATGGAATTGTAGATTACAAAGGTCTTATGGCTCATCTAGTGCAAACTTTTCATTTGTTTGAAGAAATTAAGACACATAAAAGTTAGATCACTTGCTGTAAGATAAGTAGGGGAGATGGAAAGTTCTCTGCACCTCATTCATAATCTGTTGCTCTTCTATTATATTATTAGCTGATTTTTCATGGAAATTCTCCCCAATAATCCTGTAAGCTCCTCAAGCAGAGTGTTTTTATTTTTATTTTATTTTATTTTTTCCCCATTTATTTTTATTAGTTGGAGGCTAATTACTTTACAGTATTGTAGTGGGTTTTGCCATACGTTGACATGAATCAGCCATGGATTTACATGTGTTCCCCTTCCCGATCCCTTCCCACCTCCCTCCCCATCCCATCCCTCTGGGTCTTCTCAGTGCACCAGCCCTGAGCACTTGTCTCATGCATCCAACCTGGGCTGGTGATCTGTTTCACCCTTGATAGTATAGTTGTTTCAATGCTGTTCTCTCAGAACATCCCACCCTCGCCTTCTCCCACAGAGTCTGATAGTCTGTTCTGTACATCTGTGTCTCTTTTTCTGTTTTGCATATAGGGTTATCGTTACCATCTTTTTAAATGCCATATATATGCATTAGTATACTGTATTGGTCTTTATCTTTCTGGCATACTTCACTCAAGCAAAGTGTTTTCAAAATAACTGCATCTTAGCTAAGATAACATGATCTTAGCTACAGTTATAGCAAATCAGAACCCATTTCCTGAAGTGAATCGAGGCACAAATGCTTATATGAAGGCTTCTCAGGTGGCATTAGTGATAGAGAACCCACCTGCCAATGCAGGAGACATCAGAGATGCGGGTTCGATCCCTGGGTTGGGTAGATCCCCTGGAGGAGAACATGGCTTACCCACTCCAGTGTTCTTGCCTGGAGAATCCCATGGACAGAGAAACCTGATAGGCTACAGTCCATAGGGTCGCAAAGAGTCAGACATGTGGCTGAAGCGACAACACAACACACAGCAGCACATGCTTATATGAAGGATCTTATCCCAAGTCAAACACCTTGTGAGATTAAGGGGATCTGAAGGAGCTCCTGAAATCTCTGAATGTGTTGTGAAATATTGGGTTGTAAGAAGAGAAAAAGTAGTAGTATTCCATTATCCTTATGAGCTAAAATTTCCTTGGTCTAGAAGAACATTAAGAACTAAAGAAAACATCCCATCCCAGGTCCTGCCATACTTAAAACCTTTCAGTGACTTTTCTTTGCTCTTACATAAACATAAGCTTTCTTAATGTAGCCTCTAGGCCAAAAGGAAGAATGCAGAAAAGTTAAAAATCATCTGAAATAGCAACTAATCCATAAACCAGAGCGATGAAATTCCATTCAGAGTGTTCCCATCTATACTGGATCAAACGCCAGTTGTACCTCAAGTGTTAATATACTAGTATCCTCCAGGGCCATTCTGCAGTCATTGATTGTGCGTCATGAGGCGTGAGATCTCAGGGAAGTTGAGTCGTGCTCCTGACTTTCTTGTGATCTGCATCATCTCAGGGTGTAGGCTCAGGATGTGCTCGAGAAGCCTTAGGACCAAGGTAGGAAGCTCTAGGTACTGGCAGCCTTTACCAATAAATGTTTTGTCTGAAAAACTTGTGGGTTTTGTTTTGTCTTGTTTTGAATTTATAACAGTTTTCCAGAGGAGCAGTCGTGTATGATGAAAGCAGACACCAGAGCCTGTTTAGCTGTGATATCATTAACGTATGCTGCTACAGCTTGGCTAGGACTTAAGAACTTTTTACTTAAAAAAAGCAAATTCTTTTTTAAAAAAAAATTTTATTGGAGTAGAGTTGACTTAGAATGTTGTGCTAGTTTCAGGTGTATAGAAAAGTGAGTCAGTTATACATATACATGTATCCATTCTTTTTTCAGATTCTGTCCCCTTATAGGCTATTACAGAATATTGAGTAGAGGGCCCTATGCTATACAGTAGCTCCCGAGTTCTGATTCAGCATAGAAAGTCAGGAAGACACCTGTTCTAGGAACTCCAGCAATGAGAGAGGGACCATTTGTCCTTCCTTACAATGATAGCACATATGTTAGGAGAAAAGGACTAGAAAAAGAAGTTCCTGGTGGCAGTGGGAAGGAAATGAAAGACCAGGAAGAATACAGACTGAGAATGGTAAAAACATGTCCTAGGGATTTAACCAAAAGATCAAGAGGAGGAGAGAGGATGGTGATATTTCCACTAGTACTCGAGGTGAGGAAGGAGAAAGTCTTCAGGGGCAGAAATGGATGGATTTTCTTTCCTTGTCGTCCATCCCAAGTTCCTGTTCAGAGCAATAAATCATGTATAGGCAAATGTAATTCAAATTATTTTAACTTGGAAATAATATAAATTGTGTTTTCGAGCAAGCTGCAATGGTAACATCGCTGTACTGAATTATATTGAATTATATACTGAATTATATTGCTTCACTGATATAGATGTCACAGACTAAGCCTTCAGGACTTGGAATGGCTGACAGGGGAGATGATGTGCATTCATTCCTTTCTCCCTTCATTCCATCAGTATGTAGGTAGCATCTCCTGTGACCAGGTACTTTCTAGGGGCCTGACATGCAGTGGTGAGCTAAACAGATCTTCCCTGCTCTTTTGGAGTCTCTATTCTAGTGGAGAAGACAGAAAATAAGAAAAAAAAAATGTCAGGTTGCAAATGCTTGAAGGACAACCAAGATCTTCTGTGCAGGCAGTGACCATCATGTCATTGATGACCCCTCTTCCTCACAGTGTCTCAGCTGTAAAAAAAAATCTGCCTGCCAACTCGAGAGTTGTGGGAGACGCAGCTTCTATCCCTGGGTGGGGAAGATCCCCTGGAGGGGAAAAATGGCAACCCACTCCAGTATTCTTTCTTGGGAAATCTCATGGACAGAGGAACCTGGCGGGCTACAGTCCATTGGGTTGCAAAGAGTCAGACACGACTGAGTATGCACGCACGCACACACTTTCTGTCTGAATAGGTTTTAGAGAAGGACAAAACTCCCAGCAACCCAGAGTTTCATGGGTTTTCATCCACAAAGACTTGCTAGTGTTTGTGATTCCAGAGTCACTCTCTATGAAGTCAAAGCCCCTTGATGGGGTGAAGCTGATACTGGCAGTCTTATATATAACTGATGGGAATGCCAATGGCTACAAACTTTTATGAAATTGATCTGGAAAGAGCTACTGAAAATTGAGCTGCTGAAAATCCATAGATTTTAAGGATTCCACTTAAAAGAATATAACCTATAGAAATAAAAAGCAGTACATAAGGATAAGAAAAAAACAAACAAAAATGCCCTTGAGATATTAAAGCCTTCTTAAGCACCCTAGGCCGTCTGCTCCTGCCTCCTTTAGGGTCTCAAGTCTAATGTTTCCTTCTTCCTTCCCTGATTTAAAAGAACACGCCCACATTTCCTTTCGTAAACCTGCTCTCTGCCTGCTAGGGTGAGGTTCTGGGCCCTTGCTCAGAATCTGCCTGCTGGCCTGGCACTCTCCAGCCCTTCTTTCTCTCTCTCCTTATCTAAACCATCATAAAAATTGGTATATGGGTAAATTTAAGTTCTATTTTATTTCTTTTCAGCACTTGTGTTGTCTTTCAAGAAATTTCACGTTGAAGTTCTATTAATATATGCTGTTTAGAAACCAAAAGTTCTTTTCATAATTTCATTAAAACAGAAGCTTGGTCGATTTTGCTTAACTTTACTGTCTCACTTGACCAGTGGAAAGTCTAAGAGGGATATAAATAGTTCTTAAGGAAAAAGGAATTTCACAACTTGGGACAGAGCCAGAGAATTCTCCACTGTCCTCTGGATAAACTACAGAAGGCGGCTGTATACCCATGCAGATACATAGAATTTTTTTTTTTTTATGGAATGTAAAGAAGTTACCAATGATTTACTTTCTACTTATTAACTGGTTAGGGAGAGCAAGCTGCTAAGAGATATTAATTGTCAACCAGTATTTAAAACTATGCAGGCTTACATACAAGTATTTTGCAATCTAGGAAGATTCATGAGATACTCAGAAATCAGTGAAAGAGAAGAACACTGTAAGTATTTTGTGAAGATTGTTTGTTCAAGGAAAAGAAATGAGTACAAGTTTGGGGAAATCCAAGATTTGTTTCAATCAGTAATCAACTGAACTCGGTGACAGATTGGATTTAAGGGATAAAAGAAAGGGAAGAGACAGATGCTTGGAGTTTCTAGAGCAGGAAGAGACAGGAATGATACATGAGCAGAATGTGAGACTGTGGGAGGGTGGAGGATCTCAGCATGGGGTAGGGGGCTGCTATGGGCCTGTGGAAGGAATGAGGGTCTCCTGGCTTGAGCCCTGCTGAGACTGAAGTCCTGGCTGCATGTCCAAGGGATTTCCTGACCTGGAGGAAGGGGTGCCTGACTTCACCAAACTGAGTCTCTTGTGTGACTCCAGCTCCGTGGCGGTCGGAACCACCCACCAGGGGCACAGCCCACATCCAGATTCAAGTTCGTTTGTGTTCTTGGCTTCTTCCCAAATGTGTGAGCCGTTGAAAATCAGTCCTCTTTTCCACAGGGGCAGTTCAACTACACTTGTCATTAAAGTAGCAATGCTTCTGCTTCTTCCTGACTGGAGGGTGGAGGATCTCAGCATGGGGTAGGGGGCTGCTATGGGCCTGTGGAAGGAATGAGGGTCTCCTGGCTTGAGCCCTGCTGAGACTGAAGTCTTGGCTGCATGTCCGAGGGATTTCCTGACCTGGAGGACGGGGTGCCTGACTTCACCAAACTGAGTCTCTGGTGTGACTCCAGCTCGGTGGCGGTCGGAACCACCCACCAGGGGCACAGCCCACATCCAGATTCAAGTTCGTTTGTGTTCTTGGCTTCTTCCCAAATGTGCGAGCCGTTGAAAATCAGTCCTCTTTTCCACAGGGGCAGTTCAACTACACTTGTCATTAAAGTAGCAATGCTTCTGCTTCTTCCTGACACGCTCTCAGAAGAAATTTCGTGAAGTATATATTTTCAAGAAAATGATTATTTAAGGGAGTGTTTAAAACTTTTCTTTTCAATTTTCAGTTTGAGCGTCTGAACCTTGCCCTTCAGAGAACATTGGCAAAACACAAAATAAAGGAAAACAGGTAAATTGAATTATTTCAGTTGCATGAATCTCCTGTTACAATCACTGACACAGCCACTAATAACCAGTGCTTAGTGGTGTATCACATATATGAATCGTTTTGGTATGCCAGGAACTGGGCTAAGCATTTTAGCTGCCACTAATCTGAAAGGAAGTGTGTTCATTTTTCACAGTTCATACGTCACTAAGCTCAGGTTTCTATAAAATGTCTAGAATTTTATAGCTGTTTGGGAACTGGCAGAACGGAGTTTGAAGCCTGGGTTTTTCAGAGCCCATGATTTTAACCATCCTGTGCTGCTCCATTTAGTAAACTCCCAAAAGGCCTATTCTTTTCTGCTAGGGTGTAATTTCTGAAATATTTAACAAAGTGAAGGCGTGGATCAGAGGAGACTCCTGCTTGAAGAACAGTGCCAAGAATCTGGGGCTAGGTCCCAGTGTAGCCTGCCTGTCCCCTCGCCCCAGCCTGAGCCACAGTTTTTAAAAATTAATTAATTTTAATCGGAGGCTGATTACTTTACAATAATACATAGGTTAAATTTTTAGCTCCTGCATCAGGAGGGAAGGATGTGGGAGCAAGAGGTGGGCAACTCAGGAGTGGGGCGACAGCTGGATCAGTCCTTACGGAAGTGTTTCAGTATTTTCCTAACTAGCTTGGTAATACTGATTATACTGATATTCAGATACCTGTTCTAGTGATACTTTTTCTTCTACTCTGTCTTTGAAATTTTCTTTAAGAAAGCTTTCTGTAACAGTTTCGTATATAAGGTGAATTAAAAAAAAAAACTAAACAATCCCTGATTTTTAGAGTTCATTTTACAAATACATCTTGCACATTTACTGCTGGCTCATTTACTGATTTGGCTTTGTTTTGGTTTCCCAGAAATTGAAGGATTATTTGCTGTGTAAATACCATAATAAACACTTGCGTTCAAATTTCAGAGTTGAATTTGCAATTTTTGCAAACCAGTACCCTTGTCGGGAATATTTTATACATTCATCCATCTGTCTGCTGCTCAGGAGGGGATCATCTGCTCTGTGAGTTTTCTGGGCTTAATTTCGCTTGCTGACTAACTGGTCCCAGGCTGCAGGCAGCAGGCAAGCCAAGAAGGGGTCAGAGACAGGTCCAAAAAGAGAGTGTGAATCTATGTGTCTGACAGAAGCTGTGTTTGCAGAGTGATATGGACAGCATTCCAGAAGCCTCTGACCTTAATTCTCAGTCCGGCTGATAAGATAGCCAGCAAGTCCTGAAGCTGTGCTACTGTGTCTGTCTGCCTGAGGCCTTGGCAGCCAGTTGACTCAGAATTTATTCCCAGGGCTTGGTGTCCTGAAATATGCCTAAGCTTGATGCTGATATTCAATTAGGATGTGTTCCCAGAGATGGAGCTCTTTAAAAAAAACAAAAAAACTTAAACCTTAAAGAAATGATTTTATTTGAAATTTTGAAAAATCTTTTTCTTCTTCTTTGACTTCTTAAAGAGTTGATCATACTTTTAAATTGTCCTAATGATTAGACCACTGTTGAAATAAGAAGAGGGACTTTTTCTCTTGTGAGACTGTATGCTGATGATGCCAAATGGCTTGTCTCTGCTTTGTTTCTCTAATTCTTGGCTATGTTGGGCCTTTTCCCCCATCTTTCTGGCAGGTCGGCTGCCATTTCTACTGAGGTCAGCGTGCTGACTGTTGAGGGGAACTTCACTTTCCCGCCCAGCACCATTTTTAAAATTTTAAATTTGTTTATTTTTATATTGAAGGATAACTGCTTTATAGAATTGTGTTGGTTTCTGCCAAACGTCAGTATCAACATGATGTTTCTGCCAAACATCAGCCATAGGTATACATACGTCCTCTCCGTCTTGAACCTCCCTCCCATCCTCCTCCCTATCCCACCCCTTTAAGTTGTTACAGAGCTCTGATTTGAGTTCCCTGAGTCATACGGCATACCCACCACCAGTTTTAAGTGAATGAGTTTTATACAGTCATTATGATACCCTTTAGGGTTGGTTTCAAGCTTTTGCTTTTATCTTTTCCTAGGACCTTTTGATCACATCATGTGTGAACTCATGGCTGGTGTATGTCTGCCTGTGTGTATAACACACTTCATTTGCTGGTGTACATGCAGATATATGCCTTCTTTTAAAAAAATTTTGAAGGTAAAGTTAGGGAGCTTATTTTGAATGTCACTGTGTGATGTTTGACTTAGCTAAGTTGCTTAAATGAGAAGAAGGAACAAATCTGAAGACTGACTAATATAGTATATAACAAGGGGTTGGGAGTATCTAATTCAAACTAGATGTAATATCATAGCCTGATCCCCAAGTTATTTAGATAAGAATATCTTTCTGACTGTTGTTGTTCAGTCACTAGGTCATGTTCAACTCTCTGTGGCCCCATGGACTGAAGCACTCCAGGCTTCCCTCTCCCTTACTATCTCCCAGACTTTGCTCAAACTCATGTCCAGTGAGTTGGTGATGCTATCCAACCATCTCATCCTCTGTTGCCCATCTTCTCCTCCTGCCCTCAATCTTTCCCAGCATCAGGGTCTTATTCTAGTGAGTTGGCTCTTCGCATCAGGTGGCCAAAGTATTGGAACTTCAGCTTCAGCATCAGTCCTTCCAATGAATATCCAGGGTTGATTTCCTTTACGATTGACTGGTTTGATCTCCTTGTAGTCCGAGGGACTCTTAAGAATCTTCTCCAGCACCACAATTTGAATGCATCAATTCTTTGGTGCTCAGCCTTCTTTATGGTGAAACTCTCCTATTGAAACATGACTACTGGAAAAACCATAGCTTTGACAAGATGGATCTTTGTCGGCTAAGTGATATCTCTGCTTTTTAGCATGTTGTCTAGGTTTGTCATAACTTTTCTTTCAAGGAGCAAGCATCTTTTAATTTCATGGCTGCAGTCACTTTCTGCAGTGATTTTGGAGCCCAAGAAAATAAAATTTGCCATTGTTTTCACTTTTCTCCCACCTATTTGCCATTAAGTGATGGAACTGGATGCTATGATCTTAGTTTTTTGAATGTTGAGTTTTAAGCCAGATTTTTCACTGTCCTCTTTCACCCTAATCAAGAGGCTCTTTAGTTCCTCTTTACTTTTTGCCATAGAGTGGTATCATTTGCATATCAGAGGCTGTTGATATTTCTCCCAGCAATCTTGATTCCAGCTTGTGATTCATCCAGCCCAGGATTTCACATGTTGTACTCTGCATATAAGTTAAATAAGCAGGGTGACAATATACAGCCTTGACATACTTGTTTCCCAATTTTGAACAGTCTTTTGTCTCATGTTATAAGCAGTATACCTTTATGTGATCAAGTAGCCAGTGGCGTGATTTTCCTTGTCAAAATTTTTTTCTTTTGAAATTTCTCTACATGTATCATGCTTTATTGAAATATGTTTGATATAATATTTTCAATTTATGCCTATTTGTGATCTTGGCTTGTCTAATAGCAAACTGAACCACAAAATAACTTGGGTATCTTTTAATATGCTTTAGTAGTTTTGTAAATTAGATTTTAATCAGTTATCACTATCAGAAATCATCAAAAAAACAATTAAGCAAACATGAATCAACAAGTTGTCCAGTTGAAATTGCAAAAACCTTCTATCAGTCAAATGTATGCTATTATCATATATCATTAATCATATGTATTAAATTATATTAATTATTATTATATAAATATATTATAAACTTCTGTGCTACTTAAAGCAGTTCAGTAACTGAATAAGGAATTAATTTCTTTAGTTACTAATTTTATATTAGATCAAGGATAAAAGTTTAATGTGATGGTGCCTGATAGTTAAATATATAGAACCTAAAACCTAAAAGTAGCATATTCTGTGTATTTGCTTTAGAAAATAAATAAGGACTTACTTAGAAGTGAAATCCATCAGTAGGTAGATTTTTCTTCTTGGTTGCTTTATCAGAAAAGCCCATCCTGATTTATTATCTTCCTTGGCCGTTTTGTACCCCAGGGTTTTCTGTCAGTACAAACCTCTGTACTATTAGCTTATATGAAGTTAGTTTCAAAGGTAACTATACTTTATAAAAAGTGATGAAACAGTCTAGATCATGTATATTTTGGGGTTTTCCAACATTGATTCGGTTTGTACATGTCACTGCTCCTTTCCTTTAAACTCGGCTGTCAAGATTTGCCTCTACAGAGAAGGTAATTTAAATTATTTTCTGTCATCATTTCTGTATGTTATAATCTGAAATTTTAGCATTCATTTGTCAGTTTATAATTTAAGATGTTGAAATAATTTCAGGAAATCTTTGGAAAGAGAAGACTTTGAAAAAATAATTGCAGACCAAGCAATTGCAGCAGGTAATAGAATTAAGTATGTGAAATTAGGAAATAATTTGTTTATAGAACTATTTCACCTGTAAACTAAAATTTTCTGTTCCTAGAAAATATTTACCTGGAGAACTAATATTTTCTTTAAAATATTCATGTTTATTTGGTGGTAACATCCAATGTGAAATGTTTAATATCATGTTTTGTGTTAATGTAAAGAATAACTCTTTTTCATACTTATACCTTTGTTTGACTTCAAACGTTTCCTTTTCTTACAATGTTTATTTGCTGAGAAATAGATAAAGCTGCCTGGCAGGCTGATGCATAGACATTCATATGCTTTGGTCTTGAACTTAGTAACTAAGTGTCCTTCATTTATGCATGAAAACTTCTACTCAACATAGTAACAAAAGTAACTTTTTAAAGGTTGGAAGAAATTATAGAAATTATGAGAAATGTGAGCACTGCTCACATATTAATACTTAGTTTGGAAGAATCAAGCAGACGAGTGACTTTGTCATACTGTCTTTTTCAAAGTTTGAGTACATGGACCAACTGGTGAGGTTTTTTTTTTAAGTAGAAGATTTGAAGAATTTGCTTCTGCTGCTGCTGCTGATGGCTGACTTGCACTGAACCCTCTCTCTGGGTCAGGCACAGTTCTAACATGGCCCACAAACACCACAGCAGTGCTGTGAACAGGGCCTCCATGTTTCCCCAAGTTCCAAATGAGAAGAATGTGGTACAAAGAGTTTAAAGAATAAAGGACACTAGCGAAGGAAAAGTTGTGGAAAGTAAATGATACATTCCCAACACATTTTTCATTCAGGTAACATTACACAACAAGAATGCTGTTTTGCTCAATAATAATAATAATAATAATAATATTTATTACTATTATAATATATTACTTTATATCATCTCAGGAAAAATGACAAAACTGAATTTCACCACCAATGATATAAATTAATTCTGTATCTGATGCTTCTCTTCCAAGGGGGCTAGTACCCCTTCACAATATGTGCCACTGTTTCTGATGTTAACAAGGTGGGAAGACTTCTTTTGAAAGAGGTTTAATCCTGTGATTTCAATTGCTCTTTTACAGTTAAGTTTCAGGGTGATAAAAAGTCATATATTATACTCAACTGATCATTCTTTCATAATTAACCAATTCGGGTTTATATTTGGAGTTACTTGAATTTTAGAAATGAATTTATGCAGATAATTTGGACAAAAACGGTTAATTTTGGTTGGAACTCTTAGTAGCAGATATAAAGCAAGCTAAATTGTCAGATTAGGTGGTATTAAAAACAGTAGTAAAAATACAGCCCTGCCAAGATGATGCATATGATATGGCAGAAAATGTGTTCTGTGCTTTCAGGAGTTCCGGTGGAGATCCTCAAAGAATCTCTTGGTGAGGAGCTTTTTAAAATATGTTATGAAGAAGATGAATACATCCTAGGTGTGGTTGGAGGAACCCTGAAAGATTTTTTAAATAGCTTCAGCACGCTCCTGAAACAGAGCAGCCACTGTCAAGAAGCAGAAAAGAAGGGCAGGTTTGAAGATGCGTCCATCCTGTGCCTGGACAAAGATCCCAATATCTTACATGTTTACTACTTCTTCCCCAAGAGGATCACTTCCCTGATTCTCCCCGGCATCATTAAGGCAGCTGCTCGCATACTGTATGAGACGGAAGTGGAGGTTTCCCCGACGCCTTCTCGCTTGCACCAGGACTGCCGTGAGTTCGTGGACCAGCCTTGCGAGCTCTATTCCGTCCACGTCAGGAGTGCCCGGCCGCACCCGCCCTCCGGGAAGCCCGTGTCCTCGCTGGTCATCCCTGCCTCGCTCTTCTGCAAGACCTTCCCTTTCCACTTCATGCTGGACAGAGATATGAGCATCCTGCAGCTCGGCCACGGCATCAGGCGGCTGATGAGCAGGAGAGATGTGCAAGGGAAGCCTCATTTTGATGAGTACTTTGAGATCCTGACCCCCAAAATCAGCCAGACCTTCAGCGGCATTATGACCATGCTGAACATGCAGTTCTTGGTGCGAGTGAGGAGGTGGGACAACTCCGTGAAGAAATCTTCCAGGGTAAGAACAGTTGTCCTGTTGTGATATGGAATCAATGATTTTGCTTTTAAAGACTGGGTGTGAAAAATGTAAAAATATACTGTATCACTTCAGAATATTTTAAACATTTTTTAATGTGGGCCGTTTTTAAAGTCTATTGAATTTGTTACAGTGTTGCTTCTACTTTATGTTTTTTGGCTTTTTGGGTGAAGGGAATGTGGGATTTTAGTTCCCTGACCAGTTTGCGGAGTCTTAACCACTGGACTGCCAAGGAATTCCCCAAAATTTTTAATAAAATATTTCTGTTTAAAATAATTCTAAAATACTTTGAAGGCTGGAATAAATTTAAAACAAGATTCTTTGTGCGTTCATTTGCTTGCTTACTTACGGCATTACTTCACAAATATTTTTTGAATGCAATCTACCTTTTAAAATCTTTGTGTGCTGTGCTGTGCTAAGTCACTTCAGTCGTGTCTGACTCTTTGCAACCCTATGGACTATAGCCTGCCAGGCTTCTCTCTCCATGGGATTCTCCAAGCAAGAATACTGGAGTCGGTTGCTGTGCCCTCCTCCAATGGGATCTTCCCGACCCAGGGATGGAACCCACATCTCTTATATCTCCTGTATTGGCATGTCGGTTTTTTACCATTAGCATCACCTGGAAAATATTCATGGAGTATTTTATAACTGAATTATAAAAATACTTATGTAAAAATATGGCTTCGATCATCACGAAATAGCTGACTTAATTTGGATAATAAGAGGATTTCTATAACAAAGAAACAAAAATGACTTGTTTCTTAGAGGAGGCAACTAAATGGATTCTTAAGTCCATATTGAATAGACATGGAAAAAATCAATAACTTGTTTGATTAACTGTTAGAAAATGTGGGGAAAGTGTTCTGCTCTCATCTCATAGTAGAGAACCATGCATGATTTAGAAAAGAAGTTTGGAAATCACAGTCAATAGTATAACTGAGCTCATAGAAAGGCTCACGACGCGCCTGACTTCTGGACAAGTTAATCCAGAAGACACAGTCTCTGTCCTCCCAGATGGAAACAGCTTTATTACTTTTTATGATAAACACAGTACAGCTAAATGTTTACAAATAGGTAATACTTTAAGATGTCCATTGCAAAATCAAAAACATTATGTACATTTTTGTTTAAAACAAAAAAGCTACTTTTTACAGTTCTTTTTTTATCAGTAAATGATATCTGTGTGTGTCCTTCCATGTCATTAGACACTGGCCTCTTTCACTTTTTCAAAGGCCATGTCGTATCCCATTGTGTGGTCATCCTGTATTTTGGTTAACCGTCCACTGTTGAAGGACGTCCAGGCTGCTTTTGTGGCTCTGTTTTGTTAACACGTATGTACACATCTGTCTCCTTCACACACGTGAGCCTGTGACCCGAGATGGGCACGTGAAGCCCCCTCGCCCAGGGGTCCTGTGCCTTCTTCTGCTGATGGCTGCTGCCGAGAACGCTGGAGCAGAAGCATCAGTGTGGCACGTGGTGAGAAAGCTTGGAAGCAAGAATTTGGGGCATTGTTGATTGAAAATCATGATTTCTGTGTAAACTATGATGCTGGGAAAGTTTGAGGGCAGGAGGAGAAGAGGGCAACAGGGGATGAGATGGCTGGAAGGCATCACCAACTCAATAGGCATGAGTCTGAGCAAACTCTAGGAGACAGTAGAAGACAAGGAAGCCTGGCGTGCTGCAGTTCATGGGTCACAAAGAGTTGGACACGACTTAGCGACTGAACAGCAACAATTCTACAGTATATTCTCCAGATGTCTGCATGCATTTTAGAGCTCATAGTAAACTGAAACCACAAGACAGCCGATTGTTTTTGTCAACAAGTAGAAAAAACTCAAGCTTTAAAAACAAAGCTAGGGGGGAGCGGGGGACTAAGATCCTGCAAGGTGCGTGACTTGTTAAAAAAAAAAAAAGAAGGGATTATCACTGTATCTGTTTCCTCACTTTTTGTCTGTTGGGAACGTGAATAAGCCACAAAGCTTGGTCCTCCTTCTACGCAGGTGATGGACCTCAAAGGCCAGATGATCTACATGGTGGAGTCCAGCTCCATCCTGTTCCTGGGCTCACCCTGCGTGGACAGACTGGAGGACTTCACGGGCCGAGGGCTGTACCTCTCTGACATCCCCATCCACAACGCGCTGCGGGATGTGGTGCTGATCGGGGAGCAGGCCAGGGCCCAGGACGGCCTGAAGAAGAGGCTGGGCAAGCTGAAGGCCACGCTGGAGCAGGCCCACCAGGCCCTGGAGGAGGAGAAGCGGAAGACGGTGGACCTGCTGTGTTCCATCTTCCCCAGCGAGGTGGCGCAGCAGCTGTGGCAGGGCCACGCCGTGCAGGCCAAGCGCTTCGGCAACGTCACCATGCTCTTCTCGGACATCGTGGGGTTCACGGCCATCTGTTCCCAGTGCTCCCCGCTGCAGGTCATCACCATGCTCAACGCACTCTACACCCGCTTTGTCAAAAACATTATGTACATTTTTGTTTAAAACAAAAAAGCTACTTTTTACAGTTCTTTTTTTATCAGTAAATGATATCTGTGTGTGTCCTTCCATGTCATTAGACACTGGCCTCTTTCACTTTTTCGAAGGCCATGTCGTATCCCATTGTGTGGTCATCCTGTATTTTGGTTAACCATCCACTGTTGAAGGACGTCCAGGCTGCTTTTGTGGCTCTGTTTTGTTAACACGCATGTACACATCTGTCTCCTTCACACACGTGAGCCTGTGACCCGAGATGGGCACGTGAAGCCCCCTCGCCCAGGGGTCCTGTGCCTTCTTCTGCTGATGGCTGCTGCCGAGAACGCTGGAGCAGAAGCATCAGTGTGGCACGTGGTGAGAAAGCTTGGAAGCAAGAATTTGGGGCATAGTTGATTGAAAATCATGATTTCTGTGTAAACTATGATGCTGGGAAAGTTTGAGGGCAGGAGGAGAAGAGGGCAACAGGGGATGAGATGGCTGGAAGGCATCACCAACTCAATAGGCATGAGTCTGAGCAAACTCTAGGAGACAGTAGAAGACAAGGAAGCCTGGCGTGCTGCAGTTCATGGGTCACAAAGAGTTGGACATGACTTAGCGACTGAACAGCAACAATTCTACAGTATATTCTCCAGATGTCTGCATGCATTTTAGAGCTCATAGTAAACTGAAACCACAAGACAGCCGATTGTTTTTGTCAACAAGTAGAAAAAACTCAAGCTTTAAAAACAAAGCTAGGGGGGAGCGGGGGACTAAGATCCTGCAAGGTGCGTGACTTGTTAAAAAAAAAAAAAGAAGGGATTATCACTGTATCTGTTTCCTCACTTTTTGTCTGTTGGGAACGTGAATAAGCCACAAAGCTTGGTCCTCCTTCTACGCAGGTGATGGACCTCAAAGGCCAGATGATCTACATGGTGGAGTCCAGCTCCATCCTGTTCCTGGGCTCGCCCTGCGTGGACAGACTGGAGGACTTCACGGGCCGGGGGCTGTACCTCTCTGACATCCCCATCCACAACGCGCTGCGGGATGTGGTGCTGATCGGGGAGCAGGCCAGGGCCCAGGACGGCCTGAAGAAGAGGCTGGGCAAGCTGAAGGCCACGCTGGAGCAGGCCCACCAGGCCCTGGAGGAGGAGAAGCGGAAGACGGTGGACCTGCTGTGTTCCATCTTCCCCAGCGAGGTGGCGCAGCAGCTGTGGCAGGGCCACGCCGTGCAGGCCAAGCGCTTCGGCAACGTCACCATGCTCTTCTCGGACATTGTGGGGTTCACGGCCATCTGTTCCCAGTGCTCCCCGCTGCAGGTCATCACCATGCTCAACGCACTCTACACCCGCTTTGACCGGCAGTGTGGAGAGCTGGATGTCTACAAGGTAGGCGGCCAGGCCCCGGATGGGGAGAGTTGGGCCTTGGGCCAGGAGCCTGTCCTGGGAGCAGGCATCCTGCCTTCACTGTATGGGTGTCTTCTGGCTCTGAATCTGCTCAGAGATGATTATTCCAGAAAGGACAGCCACTGTGTCTTTCCACAGAATGCAGGGTGACAACGAGGGAGTGGGCTGCCAGACCCTCAGAAAGGTGATGTTTTAAATTCAGTGAGCCTGACACTTGGACTGTGAAAACTGAGATGAATTGGTTTGGTTTTCTTTCCTTTTTTTTTTTTTTAAAGTATTTATTTTTTTGGCTGCTCTGGGTCTTATTTGCAGCATGTAGGATCTAGTTCCCTGATCAGGGGTTGAACCTGGGCCCCCTGGATTGGGAGCTTGGAGTTATAGCCACTAGACCACCAGGGAAATACCAAGACAGACTGTTAAGCCTGAGATGTTTCAAAGAGGGAGGATGTAGCCTTTCCATCTGCAAAAGTAAAGAAGCAGGAGGATTACATGAATTATCTTCCGACAGATTCGTTCAGTATAGACTAACAGGGTGCTTTTAACGACCAGGGAACAGAAACCCAAATCACCTGCTTGTCTGGTGACCAAGGGCAGGAGACGGCCTGTCTTCAATCTTGTTTTCTGCCTTGTTTGCTTTGTAAGCAGAGAAGTGAAACAACCTTCCCCATTTCTGAAACAGAGGATATAATATCCATTCACAGAGTTTATATGCATGAATAACATGCTTTATGTCCTGTAATCTTCATGAACGGAGCTCTTATAAAGATTATGTTAAAAAATATCTGTTATTCATCAGCCAACAGGGTTGACTGAGTGCTTGCAGGGTACCAGGCATCATTCTAGGCTCTGGGGATGCATGGAGATTGTCCCTGAAACATAATAAACTATTTTTAATGTAACTATTGTTAATAAGGGGATTCCCAGATGGAGCTAGTGGTAAAGAACCTGCTTGCCAATGCAGGAGACGTAAGAGATGCCGGTTTGATTCCTGGGTTGGGAAGATCCTCTGCAGGAGGAAACGGCAACCCACTCTAGTGTTCTTGCCTGGAGAATTCCTTAGACAGAGGAGCCTGGCGGGCTACAGTCCATAGGGTTGCACAGAGTTGGACTCGACTGAAGTGACTTAGCATGCATGGTTAATAAGAGAACCAATGAAGAGATTCTGCCTGTTTCTTTAGAAGTAAAATGTTTTCTTATGATTTAATGTATTTTACATAGTTCTCAGCATTGGCTTGAAGAATAAAGCATGCTTCTCATTTATGTGGCTTGAATCATGTTTTAATTTGCCACATAAAAAGCTGACATTTCAGAGCTTAACCTAACATGAAATAAATAAATGATTAAAGAGGAAACAAAAATTATTTATGGGACAACATAAGCTCTGCTTGGTTCCAGTCTAGATGCTCATGGTGAAACTTTCTCTTTAAAACAGTTCTAACAGGAAATTCCAGGCAGAGCTGTATTTCCCTTGGGAAAAAAGAGGTCCATGTATAATTACAGATAAAATAATTGGCTTCAGTTAGGTTAAGCCTGATGGCCTCTTGTGGAATTCACTGTATTTATTTGTAGACAGCTGATGTCTTGAGAAGGCCTCCTCTCAGAAATGTGAGGAGGTCTCGCTCTCCTCTGCAAACTGCCCAGCTGCTCACAGAAGCCGCCCACTGCTGCATGGTGCTCCCTGCTGAAATGTTTAAAAATGTCATCACTCCTCTCTAGCGTTCAGAAGCTTACTCCTCATGGCGAGGATGGGGCGCAGAGTCCCCTGGGGACCCGGCTGCTGTCCCAGCCAGTGAGTCTGTGTCCTCTTTTCACCTGCTATTCATGTCGACGCTGTGTGGAAACACTGGAGATGCTGTGAATAAACGGGGAGGGGGCCTCCCCTCAGAATACACTTAAGATACAGAGTGTGTTCCCATCACCGGCTCACCTGTGTCTGGCTGGCTTCTGGGGAACAGCAGGGCTTGTTTATCCCAGTCCCCAGTTGGACCAGGACTCCATTCAGTTTCATTTTCTTTCTTTCATTCTTTTGGTCATTTTCCTGCTTATTTGATTATTTATCTAGTGGTTTAGCATATCCTTGCTGGTCCTCCACAGTTTGCCAGCGTGGTGGAGGGTGGAGTCCAGTCCCTGTGATAAGAATCCCAGAGAAGGGAGGGGGCAAGGGAGGGACACACAGATAGAGGACAGGATAGACTCCCTGTGACACCGGGGACGCCATGCCACGCTTGCCAGCGCAGGGGCTCCAGCAGCGTCGATACTCAGCAGGGCTGAGGGGGCCTCTCCCCCTACTGAGTGGCTCTCTGAGCCCTGTGACAGCTTAGCCCCTAGGCTGAGTGCATCTCCGTGTGCGTGGCCGAGGTGATGCTGTTGGATGCTGGGCTCACTCACTGGTGAATATCCTGGGCCCCAGTGGTGGAGGAGTTGATGAGAGAGCAGACTCAGAGAGCTTGCTTTCTACCAGGAAAACAGACAACAAAGGCGTGAATTCACAGCACCCCAGATGGTGTGCTCTCTCTGGAAGGAAACAGAGCAAGTGCAGGCGAGCTGGGCGAGGGGATTTCATGGAAGCGGTGAGAATCGCCTTCCTTGCAAGGTGAGTTTTAGCAGAGCCTGAGGAAGCCAAGGACGTGTCTAGTGGTCACCTGCAGGAATACTGATCCAGCTAAGGAATAACAAATGTTTGCTATGTTTGAGGGAAAACAGGAGGCCAGCAGCTTGGGACAAAGTGAGCAAGAAAGAGAATAAGGAGAAGGATCAGGATCAGGGGCAGCAGAAAGGCAGGACAAGAACTTTGGGGCAGCTTAAGGGCTCTGGCATTTATTCTGAGTGAAATAAGCAATTGCTGATGTTGTCCCCCTTTCTCTTCTCTCTCACCTTCACCCCTCCAGATTGCCAGCTTTGGATCAGAACAATGATATGATCTAGGTTACAATAAGAATTTGGAGGAGAAAAATGCACCTATTACAATTTGGTAGCTTATTTGTGGATTTAAATGGACTGTTAGCTTTCTATATTCAGCATGACAAATGAAAATCACTCGTAACAACAATCATGACAATAATAATAACTGATCAATACATGAAATTCACAGAAGAGATTGATTTCCGATAGCTTTCCAATCACCGTTGTCTCTGCTTCCCACTTGACATCTTAGTCTCTCTACTTTATGGTTAATATTCATGTAGACAGTTTATCGTTGCTATGACAGCACCAAAAGTTATTTTGAAAAGTTGCAATGTCAATTTTAACCTTAACTATATTCATAGGACCTTGATTCAGTAGTGACTTTGTTCAAAACACTGTATTTTATGCTGAGAGGATATATCACCCAATATCTTAAACATATTATAATAGATTAAAAGTATGTCATTTGCTTCTACAAACTCCATTTTACATGGTGCGAGGAGAAAGAGGTGCAATGATGTAGGGGAATCAGCGACAAGTCTGGGAGCAGACACCCCTCCTGACACTGTATTCACAGCAGGGTGCTGCCTCTCAGCTTAGAAACCTTGTGAATTTCCTGGAAAGAAGAACCTTTTCCAAGAGTCTGTGATTAACTCTGATGTTCCATTGGCCCATGAAGCTGAGATTTCTGCTTCATGATATAGTTTCTGCTCTATGATGTACACTCTGATGCTTCCTGGGTTTTTTCTTTTTTTTGTAATGTGGAGAATCTGTTGTGCATAGGTGGAGACGATTGGCGATGCGTACTGTGTGGCCGGGGGCTTACACAAAGAGAGTGACACCCACGCTGTTCAGATCGCGCTGATGGCCCTCAAGATGATGGAGCTCTCTCATGAAGTCGTGTCTCCCCATGGAGAACCCATCAAGGTGAGGCTGATCACGTGTTGTTCAGGAGATGTCACGAGAGTACTGCTGGTTAGTTAGTCTTGCTGTATCTCACTGTTCTCTGAACCCAGGGTAGGCAAGGTGCCAACGGGAAAGCTGGAAGGAAAGTCAAGGAGCTGGAGGAATTGCAGACACGTTTATTCTCTCCTGACTGGCACAGAAGCCAGAGCAGCAGACAAGCTGTATTTTCTCATGGTTGACCCAGCGGACATAGCATAACTGTGGCCATAATGCAGCCTCAAGGGCTTTTCAGGTGGAACGCTATCTGTTTACAGAACAGAAGTGGCCTGTACCCAAGTGGGTACATTGTGACACGCATGCGCAGTGCTATAAGTTAGCTCAGTTGTTACATAACCACGTATTTACAACACGTGGGGCCAGAGTGAGAGGCCATGGGGTGAGAGAGCCTGACCACCACCAGCTTGGCTAATTAGCTTTTTTCCCTACAGTTAGTTATCAGTAGAATGGTGCATCCATCAGGTTTAGTTGCATAGAGTAGATCTCCAGCTCACTGAAGCACCAGAAAATTTACTTCATGGTATTAAGTAGCTTACAGACCAGTAGGACCAAGGAAGCCATCCATGACTTGAGCTCTCAAAGAGTGGATCCTAAAGCCATGCTTCAGAACCATGGCTTCCTCTGTGATCTGGAAACTGGTTCTAGAAACACACAGCCATAGCCAGGCAGGAAACCATTGTGCTCAGAAAGTAGCTGTCTCCACTACTGGCTGCACTGCAGAGTTGCACGCTGTAATTGCATCAGCAACGTGGAAATTCTGCATCATCTCACAAATTGAATGACTGGAAGCCGAGTTCCTGCTAAACCTGGGAGAGGGAGCACACAGTCTTCTGCTGTGCTCATAAGGGAAGTTGTAGGCAGAAATCCAGGTTCCCAGAGCTCATGCAAGGGCGTCTGATTCACCAAAACCTCAGCACATCTAGAAACTTTGAGGGAGTTTGAAAAATGTAGTTTTTGGTTTTCTGAGCCCTGCAGGGGAGGAATTTTACTAGAATGAATGTGGACTGGTAATCTAGCAATATTTTCCAGGACATGTAAAATTCCAAAATTTCTAAATAAGCCAGACCCCAGAATAATAATGTCTTATTGCAGATGATAAAATAAAATAAATGTGCTTGGCATAGATTTAATAGATAACACATGAACAGATATCTTTATTTGTCCCACTTGAAGTGAATCTGCCACTTAACTTTTATAGAACAGTCCTCAATTAATGACCTTCAGAAATGGGCCTTTGAAATAATATGGAATCCTATCTGGCATGATATAAAATATAGAGAGAAGGAGGAAAAAGAAGTTTAGCCAGCAGTTACACCGTAAAGAACCTGCCTGCATTGCAGGAGACCCAGGTTCAGTCCTTCGGTTGGGAAGATCCTCTGGAGAAGGGAATGGCTACCCACTCTAGCATCATGCCTGGAGAATGCTATGGACAGAGGAGTCTGGCAGGCTACAGTCCATGGGTCACAAAGAGTCAGACATGACTGAGCCATTAACTTTCACTTTCTTTTTCTCTCTAATGTTAATATTAATAGAAGCTGTATGTGTAAGCCTTCACAACTATTTTCTAAGAGAATGGTCATCCCAGTTATATACTGATGTGTGACACGCTTCTCTAAAATTAGTGGTGTAAAACCACAGAGCTTTCGTGATGCATTGATTTTGTGCAATGGAATTTGGATGAGGCATAGCATGAATACCTTGTCATTTCTCACAGTATCTGGTACCTCCACTGGGAATTCTCAGTGGCTGAGGGCATGCAGAGTAGCTGAAATTACATCACTTGAACCAGAGGATTATTTCAAGATACCGCCTATCTCACCTGCCTGGTTCTGTGGTTGGGCATGGCAGAGGGTGGGCATGGCAGGGGATGGAACCCACTGGGACTGTCAGCCCAGTGCTTACATGTCTTGCTCCAGCTGGGCAGCCTCGGGACAGTCACACTTCTTACCTGGGGGTGGGTGTCCACGGAACAAAGTCGGTATCTGCTGTATGGCCTTTTACACCTTGGCCTTAGGAGATAAACGGTGACACGTCCACTGTATACTATTGATCAAAGCAACCTTAAGCCTGCCCAGAAAGGAGAAGACATAGATGCCAGGTTGCAATAGGAAGAGTGTGAAACAATTCTCCACTGTGTTTTAAAAGCATCACAGTGTCTGACTTTTCCAGATAGCTAATTTCTATAATTTTTTAGAAGATAATTATATTTTGTTTTGTTTTTTGATAAGGAGTCTCATAGCATCAAAGTGAATGCCTAAAACATCTGGATTAATAATAAACCCAGTGATCTCCACTTAAATGGGTTTTATAATTAAGACGTGTATGTTTGGGAAGGGGGTTAGTGCCTTGATTTTTGTCATTTGTAGAAATGTACTTTTATAGTTTTGCAATTGCAAGAATTATTTATAGCTAATTTCAAAGATGGTTACCCAGGTGATAATAATTTAACTTTACTGACCTATTAATTCATGCCTTTTTATTTGTACTGACCTAGGAAATTTCTGATGGCCTTAGGGGTTACTCATGAATTACCGCAAGTGCAGACTATTTTTAGTAGTGAGAAAAAAACACTAATGTATGTCATGGCAGCAGTTGTGACTTAAACATCATTTTACTTAGTATATATGTAGTATATGGAATGTATAATATAGTTGAACCACATTGTAGAGGAATCCACAATTCAGTGATGGACAAGGGCGGTCAAGACTCTACTGGATTTGAAGCTGTGTGTTTCTAGCTGCAAAGCCCAGGCTTTTACGACTTCTTACCCTCCTTCCCCATGAAATGGAATCACAGTGAAAGAATAGGAAATGTTTTTGGTTTCAAACTCTGTGTCTCTTTCCAGCATGTCTTGGGTACTAACTGTCTACTCGCTTATTCTACCGATTTCCTCACTAACACCCACCCACCCGCTGAGGCTTGCAAGACCGCAGGGGAACTGTGTCTTACGTTGGAGACCTCGCCCAGGCTGAGAAGCACAGTGGGAGACAGAAAGGGCAGAGTGCACTCACTGCATGCTCCGGGGCCTCCCTCCCAGCCCAGCAGCCAGTGTGCGGAAGGGCTCCGTCTAAAGTGGCCCTGGATGGGAGACTCCTCAGCAGATTTCCATTCGGGGCATGATGAGCACCTCACACTTTGGACCGTTTCTGTGCTTGTAAATTTACAAAGTTCTCTGATAAGAAAGCTTTGGAGTCAAGAGTGCGATTCAGGGCTGGGGGAGGGAGGGAGGGGAGAAAGCAAAGGGACCTTGGCCCTGTCTGTGTTGTTCGGATGTTTACAAGGAGGATGTGTTTCTATATTAATTATGCAATAGAAACAGTAAAACACTACAATGAACTTGTCCTATTAAAAGCTAGAATAACTAGGTACAAGGGAGAAACCGGTTTAATGAGAAGAGTGCCCAAAGAAAATAAAAACTTATGAAAGTATGCCTGGTATTTATAAGCAGAAGATAGCCTTTTGTCACCTTTTCTTGGTTTGTTTAAATTATTCTTTGTTAATTGTTTATGTATAGAACCATGTTTTCCTAAGGAAGAAAAAGCCGGACACAATAGAAATCTATGTTTTTGTGCTTAAAGTAAAACTGATGAAGAAGAGGCTTTAAAAGTAATCCAATCCTGAGTTTTCTAGGTGAGGAAAGAGTACAAGGGAAATATGGAGATTTAGAGAAGGTCAGACAGCCAGAGGCAGAGAACAAGTCAGTGCTCACCAGTGAGAAGCAGGTAGAGGGAGAGGGCAGGAGTAGGGGTCAGAGATACAGACCTCTAGGTATGAAACAAGTAAGTTACAGGATGTAATGTACAGCGCAGGAAAAAGAGCTAACATTATATAATAACTTTGTGTGGGGCATGATCTGTAAAATATTGAACAATTATATTGTATGTCTGAAAATAATATCGTTAAGTCAAGTATACTTCGATTAAAAAAGTCAGACTGCCAGCTATTAGCAGAATTTCAGTTTCTAATACAAATCCCCTGATTCATGATGTCATGCTTTTGTTTAAAAATTTTGCAGAATTCATGGTTTAACAAATGATTCTCAGAAGTTTCTAGAAGAGGTCTGAGATCAGCCATATAACTTGGGAAATCTGGAGTCTCCTGTATTCCAAATTACATCTAAGTGACTAAGTCTTTAGCCTCTGTGTACAATACAAGGATCTAATGGAACTTGTTTTAATGGTCAACTGAACATAGAACTTGGAAATAGTAAACGTGGTGTCTGATTGTCATCTTAAACCTCCTTACTCTCACTTGCTTTGTTGTAGCAGTGATTTAAAAATCTGTGCCTCCTCTAAGATCAGCCAGTTTTCAGTCTAAAAGACCCCAGTTTAAAACATTGTCTTAACTGCTCTCCAAATTATCAATAGCTTTCAGAATTCCTAAACATTCACCTCAGTGTATTCTGACTGCCTCTTATACCCAGATATGGCACGACTCTTGTTTTCCATGGATCCAGATGTTGTTGACTGAAGTGTTTATAGTTGCTGCTATCCAGGCTCAGCAATGCCAGCTTTCTGCTTCCTCTGTCATTTTCTGCCTCAATATTACATTTTTTTTTCTCCCCGAGTTGGCCATTTGAATAGTGAGGTAGTGTCTGGCATAAAGTTCTTGTGAGCAAAATACCTGAACACCCACACTTTATATCCTGAGAAGTGACCGTGTTTTGGGAAACAGCTTCTGGGTTCCAGAAGTCCTGACTCTCTCATCCAATGGACAGAGCAGGTTCACGTAAGCAGCCCGCAGAGACGGCGTCTGGTCACCATGGCAACTGTGGTAGGTTCATGGGGGGCTTTGACTCAGATAGGAAAGACGTGAAAAATACACGTTGTGTGATAAACCCAAGTGCATCCATGGAGAAGAGAAGAGGGGTGACTGATGCCGCACTAGGGGTTCTTCCTTGGAAGGGAGGAGTAGAGAAACATCGGCTGGAGGTTTGGAGGAAGGAGGAGGTGTGGGAAGAGCGAAGAGTATAATAATTTCAACAGGCCCACAAACAGCACTGACAAGCAGGAGTGTTTTTCCAGTGGCGAGAACACTGACTTACTTTTTGCTTTCAGATGCGCATTGGACTGCATTCTGGGTCAGTTTTTGCTGGAGTTGTTGGAGTTAAAATGCCTCGTTACTGCCTTTTTGGAAACAATGTCACCCTGGCTAACAAATTTGAATCGTGCAGTGTCCCCCGGAAAATCAACGTCAGCCCAACCACTTACAGGTATGACCCCACTGAACGCCTGAAATGTACTCTTTTATATGCAGTTGTCATTTTTGTTCATTGATTTGTCTCATTCTTCGTAACTTTTTCTTGCTTAGATAATATTAGAGAAAAGTCATAATTGTGTCATCCTCATTTTAACTGTTTTTAAACTACTTTTTAGTCTACTTTTTAGTCCTGAGATACCTGCAGCCTGGCTGTCATCCTTGATGTATATCCTGTCTCCCCCATTATTACCCTTTAAGCAAAGGGTAATAATGTATTCCTTCTTATGGGCTTGGGAGGTATTCTGACTCTGACCAGAGTTACAGAGACCGCACAAATTGATGGGCATGGTCCCCGAAAAGAATGCCCTTAATTCATGTGCCAGGTGTGTATACATTTTATCTGCTTTGAAAAATCAAATTATAATGGAAATCCTCGAAGAACAAAAAGATTTTCCAGATCTACATGGTAGCTAACATACACCAGGGCAAGTGAACTAGTCTCTATGATGGTTTCCTAGCATCTTCTTTCTACTCCAAGCAAGTGAACTAGTCTCTATGATGGTTTCCTAGCATCTTCTTTCTACTCCAAACAACTTTCCAGCCCTGATTCTAAGTTGAAAACCTTGCTTTCTTTTGCACAAGAAAGGTTGAAACCTGCTAAGGACCGCGCCAGCTTCATGCTCAGATCCAGTGCACCTTGCTCCCTGGCACCCTTGACTGTGTGTGGTTCCTGTCCTGGGGACTGGCAGCCCTGCTCTGGATTTGCTGTCCTCTCAAACATTTTCTTTAGAAAATATCAGCCCTCTCTATGTTCAGTTCCTCCAAGGAAATGATTCTTCCCATCAAAATACAGCCATATCTGTTTACTTACCTCTTTAAAGGTAACATCTTTGTTTTGTTTCCAAGACTGTCTCTGCTATCTCCTTAAGTTCCCACTCCTTTTCCAGAAAAACTCTGCACACAGGTTGTCTATGCTCAGGGCCTCCCCTTGCTCTTCAGCTCACTCTGGGCAGCGTTTGTCCCTCACAGGCCACTCCAATGGATCCCAGCAGGGTCATGGGTGCCCCTTGCTAAACTCAGGGTCAGTTCTCTCTCCTTATCTTCCTCACCATCTCAGGATGTTCTGAATATCTTCCTCTTCAGGCTTTTTTGACAACAGATTCACCAGGTTCGCTCGTGGCTGTGCCTTCTCCTTGTCTTGGTTGCCGCTGTCTCCACAAAACCGTTCCCCACTGGGTTATTGACATCTTCAATCAATAGAAATTGACTAGAGGCCAGTTAGAAAATTTAGGCAAGGCTTTATTGGGGCCCCTGCTGCAGCAGGAGGGAGTGAGACCAAGTAACAACAAATTTCCCTTGCTTGCTCCTGGAGTGGAGGATAAGCTAGTCGCTTTTATGGGGTGAGGGTAGGGTGTGTCCAGGGGTTTGGCTGAAGGGGTGGCTTAGGTGGATTCCCCATCTCTCTGGTGGCATTGAGTGCAGGGGGCATGTGCAGTACCCTACTTTTGCTCCCAGTTGGGTTTTTGGTCTTTTTGTATCTTTTGGTCCAAAATTTGCTCCAGCTGCATATGCACACAGTTATTTTCACTCCCACAGTTTCTTTGTATTTTGTTGCTGAAGGAGAAGTTTGTCCAGGTGCAAGCATTGCAGCAAGGGATCCCCCAGGTCAAAACCACAAAACTTTGCAAAATTGTCCTGCCCAGAGCCATGTCTGTATTCTCATGTTTCCGAAATTTTATGATTTACCACTTTTATCTCTAGCCTGACCCATGATTCTCCACTGAGCTAAACTCATATAATTCTGTCCTGTATTTCTACTCAGATGACTAACTGACCTATTAGATGGCTAATGTGATGATGTTAGAACAACTGATTTCCAATTCCCCACCCCCATGTGGATAAAATCTACTTCCCACCCAGCGAAACTCCATCAGTCTTTTTAAAGGGCAGCAGTGTCTACCTAGTTACTCAAACCAGGGACCTCAGAGTGATCTCTCCCTTCTCCCCAGCATGCCCCACCCCTGCCTCCACACGTGTGTCCTGCATATAGCCTTTCTCACCTCCTCCAATGCCACCACCCCAGCCCAGCATCACCCTCACTCTTGTATCTCGTGTGCCTGTTTCTTGGCTCATCCTCCACACAAGAGCCAAGTTCTCTTCCTAAACCATAAGCAGATCTTTCATCTTTGCCCTATAAGCCCTCCAGTGGCCTCCGCTGCAACCAGAATAAAATCAGACTTGTAACCACTGACTCAAGTGCTCTCTCTGGTCATAGTCACATCAGCTCTCACCACCTCATTTTCTTCCACTTTCTCCTTATTTCATGGATCTCCTGCAATACCAGCCTTGTTTTTATTCACCAGACTTGCTAAACTGATTCCTGAATGGAGGGTGCCTGCTTTCCCTTTCTCTCCTGGGTCATCTCCTGTTTTCCTCCTCGTGATCTGACCTTAAGTCAGATGCCACCTCTTCAAGGACACATTCCTCACCTGCCCTGAACATACCCTCACGTGGTCATCACAGCTCATCCCTGTGCCTGAAATGGTTAAGTTCAGGACAAGGGTAGATTTTTTGAGAATTTATGCAGATATAAAAGGTGATTGTTTCTTTGCAGAGCTTTAATGATACAACATTAAATCCTGGAATGGTATTTCTCAACAAAATAATGTTAGGAAGCATACCTTCCTTAATATATTTATGAAACATGTACATTTAGGACACAGACTACATCCCCACACCCAAAAATATCCACTACCTTCAAACTTCTGTTTTCAAATTCTAATCAATAATTTAGAAAGTAGCAATGTAATAGCAGTTATATGTTCCTTTCTTTTAAATGTCATGAGGAGTTTTATTCTTGGGGACAATTTTCTGCATTTTTATTTGTTTTTACTGAAGTGCAGAGAACTCACAGAGACTAGGTTCGGTATCGTTTTAAGTTTTGGATCAGTGGATTGATGAGAAGGGTGTGTGATGATCCAAGATCATTAAAGATAAAACTGGCATATGGGGCATAATGGAGCCACCCCTGTGGGTGGGAAGGTTGACCTAGGAACTCCTGAGGTGACACAGAAGCAGGACTTGGATTCCATGAGGAAGCAAGGAGCGTAAAGGGCAGATGATAGAATTAGGAGAGTTGATGCAGCCACTTGGAGGACGTGGTGTCCAGTCGCTGGGAGTAAGAAAACCGCCCTCGCATGTGAATATCCTCCTTGGGACTGTTGCTGCTAATCTCAGATCTTTTTTCCCTCAAGCTTTCATCTAAATGGTTTTATATTTCCAACCTGTTTTTCTTAAAAATTTGGATCTTTTAAAAAAGATGATTTAATGAACACATCTAATTCCATGACACTGTGTTTATCTGTAAGTTTCTTTAAAAAGCATGGGATTTGCAGTCAGGAGACATGTCCTACAGTCCCCAGTACAGGGCTTACCAGCTGTGTGATCTTAAGAAAGGCTCTTAATACATTCTAATGATTTGCTTTAAAGCCACTTCTAAATGCGCCAGATACAAAAATAAAACCAGAGAAAAATAGACTTCCACTGAACCTATCCATATTCTTCTACAACTTGCCTTGAATCCATCCAATATTATGTTTTTGAGATATTTTTTCTTGATAAAATGTAAATCCAGTTCATATAAATCTAGTTCATTTAGTTAAAGTATTCCAAATGCAGTGGTAAGCTGGTCAACCAGCTTGGGAAGTGAAGTAGATATTCCTTGAGTTCTAGCATTTACCATTTCTAAAGTATAAACATTACACTGTGGCTGGTTTCAGACTATCCATGGTTTAATTGGCTTGCAGATTCCTGAGTATCTAACAGTTGGTTCTCCCAGGCAGGTTGGAGATAAATCTAACATGTCACCAGATGTGCCTGTGATGTAATATGTATTCTAGGATATAAGTAAGCCAGTCTGTCTTCTGTCCATGGTTAATTTCAGGATAGCCAGTTTTTCATTATTATGCAAAGTGATTTGATAAATATACTTATACACATGTCTCTAGATGAGATACTTATGAATGATATTCCCTGATCGTGAGCTTCATTACTCAGTTTCAGCTTTACTCAGCATCACTCAGCTGTCCAAACCCATCTGTGTTCCATAGTGTCTGCAGGTTTCTATTTCCCGATGCCTTATATTATCAAACTTATTGCTACCAATATGGCAGGTGTTGTGTGACATCCAGTTGATGACTAATAACTCTTGTTTAAACAATTTATTTAATCTTCATAACTGTCCTAAGAGATGTGTATTATTATGAAAGTGAAAGTGTTAGTTGCTCAGTCGTTTTTTATTCTTTGTGACCCCATGGATGGTAGCCTGCCAGAGTCTTCATTTCATGGAATTATCCAGGCAAGAATACTGGAGTGGGTTGCCATGCCCTTCTCCAAAGGATGGAAGAGAGGAAGCTAGGGATGGGGTTCCATCTCCAGGGGATCTTCTCAACCCAGGGATTGAACCCAGGTCTTCTACATTGCAGGTGAATTCTTTACCATTTGAGTCACGAGGGAAGCCCTGTGTATTATTATAGTTCCCTTTTAAAGCCTAGAAATCTGACATCTTTGCTGTTATTCAAACTTAGATCTATCAGACTTTGAAGTTTACACTTTCAATACTGTGGAATTCTGTAATTTTTCACTATATATTACCAATTACTATGCCTTATAAATAATAGGTACTTGAAATATTTACAAATCCATGACTAAAACATCATTTCACTTGTTTTATTCTTTTGCAGACTACATATTTATTGATGCACTTATAAAATTAGTTAATTGAACACTCTCATGTATTCTGTCTGAGGTCTGCAATCCTTGAGACCTTCATGTCTATATAACAGTTTCCTCAGCACGTACAGAGCATCATAGTTCCGAATTTTAGCACAATATTATCACTGTTTTCATTTAGATGTCCCACTGTAGGCTGGGGAGTGGAAGGGAAGATATGAGTAATTTTCTGTAGAAGCTGGTTTAAATCTTGTTCTCATCCATGGCCTGAATAATAGATCAGAGAGATGCTTATTAAGTTTGCATTTGACAGAGACCTCGGGAAGCAAATGGGAAGAGGAGCCAGTAACTTAATCAGTGTGATTAGAATTTAAAATGAGTTTATCCTCATGGACCAATGAAGCAAATAATAAAAGCTGGTAGAACATCTGAATTTAAGAGGAAATTTAATTCTTAGGAATTTAAGAAGAAAAAATATTGCAAATATCAGGTAGTAAGTAGAATATCCATATATACAACTAAACCTCACTTTAGTCCTACTAACCTAGAATTCATAAACACTTTATCCAAAGAGATCCCAAAGTTATTCTCGAATTTTTTTGTGTGTGGCTCAGTTGCTTTGGTTGTGTCCAAGTCTTTGTGACTCTGTGGACCGTAGCCCACCAGGCTTCTCTGTCCATGGAATTTTCCTGGCAAGAATATTGGAGTGGGTTGCCATGCCCTCCTCCAAGGGATCTTCCCAGTCCAAGGACTGAACCTGCATCTCCTGCATTGCAGGCAGATTTTTTACTACTGAGTCACTGGGAAAACCCCATTTTCACATTATGTGTGTGTGTGTATATATATATATATATATGGCTTCCCTGGGAGCTAAGCTGGTAAAGAATCTGCCTGTAATGCAGGAGATCCCGGTTCGATTCCTGGGTTAGGAAGATCCCCTGGAGGAGGGAACAGCTACCTGCTCCAGTATTCTGGCTTGGAAAATTCCATGGACTGTATAGTTCATGGGATCACAAAGAGGCAGACACAACAGAGCGACTTTCACTTTCACGTATATATGTGTGTGTGTATATTATATAGAATTTTTCTTTCACAAGTTCTTGCCCATTATTATTTCTCAGTAATATTTACAAAATGAATGAATTGATATAGTGTCTTATATCTTTCAACTCTTTCAGTTCTATAATATTATTTTCTTATATTATTAGACTTTGCATCATTTGGGTTTTTCCCACTACTATGAATTTCACTGTTGTATATATCATAGATAATATCTTTACAAAAATATTTTATAGTTATTTTTCCTAATATGAGTGAAATCCATTATTTGGTGGAACTTTCTGTTATTGTGAATTGATTCTCCATTGTTATTCTGTGATGATGTTTGTAAACATCATTAGGATTTTTTGTCAATCACACTGAAGATGGTGGGTTTATCAACATTCTTAGGAATGTTCCCTTAGTTATGTTGCCTTTTCTTGACTAGACAGTTATGTTGATCTTGAGTTTTATGATCAATATCTGCCTTTTAATCTTTCCAGATTACTCAAAGACTGTCCTGGTTTTGTGTTTACACCTCGATCAAGGGAAGAACTTCCACCAAACTTTCCTAGTGACATTCCTGGGATCTGTCATTTTCTGGAAGCATATCAGCAAGGAACAACTTCAAAGCCATGGTTCCAGAAAAAAGATGTTGAGGAAGCCAATGCCAATTTTTTAGGCAAAGCATCAGGAATAGATTAACCAAACTCACACCTGATTGTTAACCTTTGGGGTCTGACTCCTTGGAACGTGAGTGGACCCTCTGAGAGCACACTGGTATGGTGTTGAGCTGAGGACCAGTATTAACATTTCAGGAGCCAAGTCACCATCTACTTTTCCTTCCACTTAACATGACAAAAATGTATTCACTTCAATATTCAAATTTTCAGTGAAAAACAAAGAAACCTCAAAAAGTGACTTTGAGGAGATATTTCTGTTATATAAGAATCACTTATTACCTGTACTCAGAACTCAGCACCTTGTACATAAATCAGGTAATGTAGTGACCTGTACCACCTGGTGAGCTGTCTGCATATCCTGCCCTGGTTATTAAGCTGCTTGTGGTAGTGCCGGTTGCCTTAAAAGCGCTTTTTGAATAGAAATGATAGTCTTGATACCATAAGCTCTTTGAACCTTTCAACTGTACATTTTGTTCCATTTCCACATTTAACAGTTAGCATATATAATAAGATAGATTTTTTTTTCCTGTTGCACTTTTTTCTTTTTCCTTTTCTTAAACAAAATAAGCCATTATGGGTTAGATGCAATATGAATCTAAAGTAGTTCTCCTGTAAATATCAAGATGATTTTATAAAAATATTCTCTACAGCATAATATGTCATAAAAATAAGTATTTCCTTTTTTGACATTTTTAAAAGTGTATACATGGTAAAGGCTATTTTAATTCATAATAGCGATTTCATTTCTATTAATTCATTTTTGTGTCATCTTCAGGGTAAAAGAGGATTATGGCCTATATTAACATGCAATAATATCATTATGATTTACTTTAACTGAAGCAACGTGGAATAAAGGCAGCATTCAGGGAGTGAGCCATAAAGTCAGAAGTGAAGTAGTTACACACACAGGAGTAATTTGAACCTATTTCAGCAGACACCCTCCATTGCCTGGCTGAGCCACAGAAAGTTGTTGCATTAGGAAAGTCTAAGTTCAGAAGTCGGAAATAAGACTTGTACTTTTTGCTGATAGCTTATTTTTAAGTATTTGTGTTGAGCACTTTGGTGTGTATATATGTCCTGAGAATCAAGCTTTTGTCTTAAGTACACATCTGTGAATATTTTATTCTAGTGAAATAACTCAATGATATTTTTAAAGGGAATGTTAATGTTGATGAAGAAAATGATGCTGTGATTTCATTCTGGAACTTTCAAAACATTTTTCTGGAACATAAACATTTATTTTTAGTGATGTTAGTCTAAGATCTCTGCTGAACTAAATAACATACAGAGTTTGGTTGGAGATAAGATCTGATTTTTAAATGAATACAGCTTCAAAGCTAGAGAAAGAGGAGCATAAAAGTGTTTAAGTCACTATTAGCAGAGCTATAGATACAGCAAACACTTATTTGTGGATCTGAGAAGTAACTCAGCTTAAAAATTTAAAAATTCTCTCCGTTGGTCCCCAGGCTAGTCCATGGTGACCTCAGGAATACCAATAATTTCTGATAGGTCTCTTAGCATCCCTGTGTATTATTATATATGTTACAATAATTATTATTTACTCAATAATGATCCTGTGTCTTGAAGCACTGATGTGGCTCATTAAATGTCAATCCTATTACTGGGGACTACCACAGGACTTGGGAAAATATAGTTATAATCTTACAAGCATATGAAGTTAATAAAAGTATTTAAAAGTAAAATCAAGACTTAAATATATTTTTATTTCTGGAACTGAGCTCTTATTACAAGGAAAATATTAGAAATTAAGGGAAATTAAAAACCATAAAATGTGTGTTATTTATCACCTGTTTAAGCAGACTCAAATTTGCTAACAATTTATGTTCCAAAAGTTGTAAATTAATTGGAATTCAAAAAATATTCTCTGCGTGTGTGTATAAACACATGTACACACACAGAACCAGTGAAGGAAAATAGAAACAATCTGTTGTTCAGTCGCTAAGTCGTGTCCAACTCTTTACAGCCCCATGGACTGCAACATGCCAGGCTCCTCTGTCCTCCACTATCTCCTGGAATTTGCTCAAATTCATGTTCACTGAGTCAGTGATGCTCTCCAATCATCTCATCCTCTGCTGCCCTCTTCTCCTTTTGCCTTCAATCTTTCCCAGCATTAGGGTCTTTTCCAATGAGTCGACTTATTGCATCAGGTGGCCAAAGTATTGGAGCTTCAGCTTCAGCATCATACCTTTGAACATTCTTTGGCATTGCCTTTCTTTGGGATTGAAATGAGAACTGACATTTTCCAGTCCTGTGGCCACTGCTGAGTTTTCCAAATTTACTGACATATTGAGTGCAGCACTTTCACAGCATCATCTTTTCAGATTTGAAATCGTTCAGCTGGAATTCCATCACCTCCACTAGTTTTATTTGTACTGTTACTTCCTAAGTCCCACTTGACCTCACACTCCAGGATGTCTGACTCCAGATGAATGACCACACCATAGTGGTTATCTGAGTCATTAAGATCTTTTTTGTTTTTTTGTATAGTTTTTCTGTGTATTCTTGCCACCTCTTCTTAATCTCTTATGCTTCTGTTAGGTCGTTACTGTTTCTGTCTTTTATTGTGCCCATCCTTGCATGAAATGTTCCCTTGATATCTCCAATTTTCTTGAGATCTCTAGTCTTTCCTATTCTATTGTTTTCCTCTATTTCTTTGCATTTTTCACTTAAATAGGCCTTCTTATCTCTCCTTGCTGTTCTCTGAAACTCTGCTTTCAGTTGGGTATATCTTTCCCTTTCTCCTTGCTATTTGCTTCCCTTCTTTCCTCAGCTATTTTTGTAAAGAATCCTCAGACAACCACTTTGTCTTCTTGCATTTCCTCTTCTTTGGGATGAGTTTGGTCACTGCCTCCACTACAGTGTTACAAACCTCCATCCACAGTTCTTTTTTTTTTTTTTTTCATTTATTTTTCTTAGTTGGAGGCTAATTACTTTACAGTATTGTAGTGGTTTTTGTCATACATTGAAATGAATTAGCCATGGATTTACATGTGTTCCCCATCCCGATCCTCCCTCCCACCTCCCTCTCTACCCGCTCCCTCTGGGTCTTCCCAGTGCAACCAGGCCCGAGCACTTGTCTCATGCATCCAACCTGGGCTGGTGATCTGTTCTTTAGGCACTCTGTCTACCAGATCTAATCTCTTGAATCTTCATCACCTCCACTGTATCATCATAAAGGATTTGATTTAGGTCGTACCTGAATGGCCTAGTGGTTTTCCCTACTTTCTTCAGTTTAAGACTGAATTTTTGCAATATGGAGCTCATGATCTGAGCCACAATCAGCCCCAGGTCTTTCTTGTTTTTGCTGACTGTATAGAGCTTCTCCATCTTTGACTGCAAATAATACACTCAATCTGATTTCAGTATTGACCATCTGGTGATATCCAGGTATGGAGTTGTCCTTGTATTGTTGGATGAGGGTATTTGCTATGACCAGCATATTCTGTTGACCAGATTCTGTTGGAAAAATCTGAGGGAAATGTAAGCAATCTGAGTGAAAGCTACATGGGAATTCCTTGTACTATTCCTGCAATCTTTCCATAAGTTTGATATTTTACCCAAAGAAAAAGTTACTAAAATGTGTTTTCTCAAAAACATTCAATCACCTGTTATAGATTACCTAGCCTAGTGTGCAAAGGCTCCTTAACTGTGGGATGCTACATAACCAGATGTACACACAACATTTCCGTGACGGATGTGCTCAAAATCTGCAACTTGGATGCTAAATACTTTGAAGAATCCCTTTCTCATCTCTGCCTTATCAATTCTAGAGTATGTGCTTGTCAGAGACACATTCAGGTCCGGATCACTGAAGGTGCCCAGGGACAGAGCCTGAGGGTGAGTTTACGAGGAAAGTGAGGGACCAAGACGGAGGCTTGAGGCTGGCGTGGCGTTGAGAATGGAGAAAAGAGTGGACACAGAGGGTCTCTGACAGGGTTGAGGGATGAATTTTACTGCCAAGTCAACTGTTCTGTAATACAATTTGAGTCCCCAGATGCCTATTCCTCCTAAGAATTCCAGGAGCTGTTCTGTTCTGTTGTTTCCATGACTTCTTGGCCCATTATTTTGTGTCCAGTACACAGAATAAATTCGCTTGGCACATGTAGTTCTCAAGTGAGCATAGAGTTCCCTTGACGTCTCCCAGAGATATCTGCAAAGTGAAATACATAGAGCTCAAAGATCTGTTCCCATTTTTCCTTCTCTTTCTCGTCCCATCTGTACTTCGTAAGAAAACACAGTTTTTGAACCTGGCACTGAAGAAACTCATTTCATGTATTTGTTCATCTTTTACTGAATGACTGCTATGTGCCAGAAACATATAATGCTGTTTTTGGAATTCCAAGTAAGGCCTCTTTTATCAAGAAAGAAAATTAGAAGGTGAACATAAGAAAAATAATCACAAAACACCGTGGAACCCAAAGGAGGAGACTCAGTGCCTGCAGAAAGGTCTTGGTCTTCGAAGACGTAGTTCATCAGGCCGAGGGGAAGGACTGCCAGGCAAGTGCACGTGTCCACACCAACACAGAGGCTTGTGATGTAGGGTGCACTTTGCATCCTCAGGTGCCTGGAATGAGCTGGTGGGTGGGGGAGGAGAGAAAGGACAGAAAGACCATTTGTCAGAGTGACTATGATTATTAATCATCGTTATTATTAGTTAATATTCATCTCCATAGAACTGTTTGTTCAAAATGGCTTAAAAAGAAAAGAAAGAAGCACAACAAGCAGACCATTGGCTTCTGCCTCCCACCCCAGCAGTTTTCAAACCACTTCAAGCGCAAAAGGAAGGAATGTGATGCTGAGATGTGAGTCTGTGCAAGCATGCCAGGAGCAGCGTGGATGAGGATGGAATTTACCTGTGCAGAGGACTAAATGAGCATCCATCTGTATCTCAGAAGAAAGTGATGCAGGACCACGAGTATGAACACAAAGCTGGGATGCCTGGCCTGGAAATTTCATGTCACTTTCACTTGTCCTTCACACCCTTTGGTGGGAAAGAAGGAATGGTTGCTCCAGCAGTTTTTTTCTTACTACTAAACTTTTCTCCAAATTACCTGTTCGTGACATGGCCAGACCCTCCGGGGCAGCTATGGTGAGGTGAGGAGCAGTTGTGGACACAGCAGGCTGCTGGGCAAGGTAAGGGGGAATGAAGGGAGGAGTGACTGGGGGGCACACACGCCCCCATCCCCACCCCTGAGAGCATTAGAGCAGAGCCCGAATGCTGTCTAGGCTGTGTAATGCTGGAAAGACACGCTCATGTCTCTGCTAAAATGACAGGTAACCGTCCCAAAGAGAATGGGTTAGTGGATTATCCTTGGCTGTAAGTGCGTGGGTTTTACCTGGATGAGTCGTTATTCCTCAGAGGAAAGGACTCTCTCATGGGTATTTGTCAGGGTGGTGTCATTGGGTACTGCCCTTCCCTGAACCATGAAACAAGGAGCTTGTCTGTGCCTGATTGTGGGCTTGAGTGCATTTCCCTTGGGGACAGTTAAGTAAAGGAGGGTTTGCAGGGTAAAGGTTGACAGATGAGGCGCATGTGAAGGGGGAGGGTGGTAGGTGGGGGGAGTCCGGCCAGAGGCCTTGCAAAGCCTGTCAAGAAGGACTTATCATCTGCTGAAAAAGCAAACCTGCAGAGACTGCTGCAGAGATGCTAGGGAAGTGCAATCCTTTGGGTCTAAGCAGAAGCTAAAAGCAGGGACAGTTTGCTTTATTCAGCAGATTTTATAGTGTTGCAGTCTCTGTGGGAATTCGGCTCCAGTCCTGGGAAAACTCTTGTGTTCTCTCCTGAGAAGGGGGAGGAATCCCTCCCAGTGTGAGAGGCGGGGAGCTTCTGGAAGTGATTAGCCCTTTGCAGTCCGGTTGCCTTCAGTCTCCTGCTTTTTGCGTGTTTGATTCCAGATTGTAGGCGAAGTGTGGCTCCCTTTAAATGCTTCTTTTATGGTGTTGGTGATGTGCACTCACTTGGTGATGTGCACTCTTGTAACATTCTACACTTTAGTGCCACCTATATTTCTCCTGAAGCAGCTTTGCCCTTGACCTGTCACACAGGCATCTGTTTTGACCAGCTCACACAATCCACACACTTTTACCTCTAAAACTATTAATATTCTTCCTGCATTCTGTGCCTGCAAAAAAAAAAAAAATAGGTTTCATTAATGCATAGATTCCAAATTAAAAAAAAAAACTAAGCAAAAAAAAAAAATGATATCCTAAAAGCCAAGCTTCTTTTCTTATCAATGCAAAATCTTTTTCATCATAATAAATTTAGTGTCAGGGAGATGGGATAGAAATTGGGATGACATTTAAGTTGTAGATCTAGGACTTAATCTCAGAAATTTTGGTAGAAGATTTGCGATAAAGGTCTGCCGCCTTTCAGTTTTTTCAAATATTTCACGTCAAAATATTAAATTGCAACCAAACCTTACAGATTGGGAAGAAAATCACTTGGCAGAAAAGGACTTTGCATAATGCCCAAATCAAACTGTCAGCTGAGATGTTTGTTTAGTCTGAAATGTTGCCAAATCCATCTGTACTGAAGAAAGAGCAATGAGGTAGTCTTGGGGGAAACTAAAGCAAAGAAAAGCAAAACAAAGGTGCTGTTGTAGAAGGTGGACACTCCAACACATTACATACCCAAGAAGAAGGTAGAGCTGAAGCCTTTTGGGAAGTCACAGTGACGAGGCTC